CAGCGGTAACATTGAAGACAACTTCAATTCATTCAATCTTCCCCTGAGTCCCCTGAAGCAACGATAAAGTGCTTTTGAAGTGCCTCACGTACCTGTCAATAGCAGGTGGCGTTTGGAATATATTTGAATTGTATTGAGCTGAGCTAATTTGAATCAGATCAGATTCAGGTGAATTGAATATTTGTACAGCATGTGTGTGTATGCATGTGTTTATTCCATTTTGGGTCGCCCGTAAGACAAACACAAGCGGACACCTAGGAGAGAGAGACAGACATATCAATATGACTGTTGTAAACAAGAGCACCTATATTGTGTTTGTGTGTTTCTTTTTCACACTATCTCTCTATCAGCAGTGAATCAGTGGAGTGTTAGGACATCGTTTAAGCTCTTGCGCAGCATCAATACTGGCTCTATTGATTTTTTCAAACAGTTAATGGAAGCCTTTAGGGCAGGAAAGCTAATTAAAATCATATGCAGGTCAAGCTCATTTAAAGACTCCCCATTAGTTTATGTTTAGCTTAACCACGCTTGACTGGAAAATCCATCCATCGGGCATCTTAATTGACTGGTGTTTCTAATGGCTTTCCAATGCTCCTGAGTTCCTCTGGCAGATTTCATGCTGCAGCTCTAATAACCCACATACAATACAATCGTTAAAGACTGTTGCTGCGTGTCCTGCATCCTCAAAGTGTCTTACAGATGCCCGCAGGCTGTGATGTGCTTCGTACTTCAACCTTTGGATATGTGCAACCTCAATGCGGTCAGACGCTGTAGCTTCTACTTCACCTCCGTCTTAAACTTTCCCTCAGGAATATTGTTGTGTCCTGAATTGTAATGGGACCACATGAAGTCTATGCTTCCATCTCATGAGTCTTCATTGATTGTTGTATTAAACATGTTAACATTAGACAAGTAAAGAAATCATTCATATAGACGTGTTTCCTCTCAGGTTTGGAGCCTTTCCTCTTAAACTTTTATTTATATAAATGTCTATTACATTACATCTAGATGATTACTTTATCAATTATTGAGACCAATGCTAATACAATAACCCAGGGAGCAGATGGACGTTTAGGATGATACATAGAACTGAAAATATGGCCTGAATAAACAAATGTTTTTTATGTTTCGGAAAATGTCTCAACTAGAGTAACTATGGCTGTTGTATGATCGCGGGAAAAATAAACATATGAGGGCTGTGTTGTGATGTCTTGATGTGCAAGCTCAGCTGCCACATTTCCCCTGTTATTTTTCCTCCAACCATCCGGCGGTTCTGCTTTTCCAACAAACATATTGTTGTTACACACGTCAGCTCTTCACAACTTGTGTGAGTGCGTATTGCAGTGCCTTGGGGGAGGTTGATTTGAATCTATGATTCAGAAGGAGATTGTATTTAGTCTGTGTTTATTGTTCCCTATCAGGGGCCAATATGATAACAGCAGATGCAAAGCATCTTGCTGTGTCTTAGTTTGATGCTTCCTCTGCATGACACTAGCCGCAAACCACACTGTCCTGCCACCACTGTTGTACCCAGCTGGCAAAGGCATTGCGGGAAACCTTGCAACGTCGAAGATTTAACAGAGTGGTTCATTATACAGAGTGAGATCAGATAAAATCCCCCTGAGATGAATTCTCTCTGCCACTGAGGAGTGACGCAGCAGAGGATAGGAGAGAGTTCTGAGCCAGATGGGCATATGAGAGGTTATATGTAATAATACAGTATCACCTAATAAGATGTCAGCAGCTTTAGGTTATTATAGAAATACTAATCCTGTTACTCTATACTCTCTTTTCAAGATAAAAACATACACATGCACTCGCATGAGTAAACCCTTCATATACACATGTAAGCACACACCTCCTGACCTTTGAGGTTGCTGATTGCATTAATATTATTAGCTGTTTTCACTCACGCATGAGATTATGTTGTTCTATTTTTGCTAACATTTCAGACTACCTAGCACATTTTAAATGACTATTAAGTGGGTGGTTATTAAGGATTAGCCATGCATTACAACGTATGTAATATAAAAGTGCTGGAAGCTGCACGGCGCTTTACACCTAAGCCCTCCAGCCCTATTTCATCTCACACCACGTTTTGTTCAGTTAAAAAACGTTTCTTGATTAAATGCATGTTTTAGTCATTTCTGTTATCTGTCATCATGAGTTGTGCATTTCAATAATGTTTCAATAATGTGAGTAAAATGAGAGTTGGTTTACAAATATCCCTCTATTGCAGAAACACCGTTTTATTTTTGCTTACGCACGTTTTGCACATTTCTTAATATTATACAAAACAATCTCAATGCAATTTTGGATTAAATATTTGTACCACAAATATGGGAACAAATCAAAATGTGTATTTTGAATACTTTGAATACATCCTCTTTGTAGTTCAACTTCCATGCACAACATTTGAGCATTTCTCTTCTTCCTCATTCAAGTCATTTAAAGTTCAATGTCTCCCATTCCCCCTGAAACCAAGTTCAAACAGCCTCTTTGACTTTCTACTTCTTATATACCCATAGTGAATGTCCTCCCACTCTGAGTGTGGAGTGAGATTTGGGGAAGGGAAGGGAAAGAAGCAGCGGAGACAGAAAGTGAAACCATGTCGGGAAAAGAGGAGATGAAGCCAGTTAGCCAACAACAGATGGCAAGTGAAAAGAGAAAAGAGCCAGGTGGTATAGAAAAGAGAAGAGCAAGTAAGAGAGGAATGAAGGGAACAGAGGTGTTTACTTTATATCATGTTAGCAACAGTAAGTCTCTGTCTAACAAGCTCAAACCCATACAGCCCACAGCTCTCATGTAATATAGCCTCAGACCCCTAAAACGAGATTCTCCACCAGCACCCTTAAAACCTGTTAAGCCCCAAGGTCCCCGCCAGCGGGTACTTTAGTTTTTTTTTTCACGACACTGTGTCTCAGGGGATCTTAATATTTAAGAACCTATTAATGTGTTATACCAGATTAACGGGAATAAACTCAGCTAACTGACGATACAAACCATTTTTACCAAAACAAAACACAAGTCTCATAAGAAGCATCTAAATGACCCCTGAGCGAAAAATGCTAACCTATTACTGCACCGATAATCACTCCTAGCTCCCTTATTACTTATCCTAGGTGCACATCCAACACATCGTTTATGATCGCAAGGAGACACAGAATCTGGTCTCAACACTGAAAGATACAAACTCGCGAAGTTATCAACACAAACGTACATCAAAACAAGTGGCGCTAGGTAGCCCACAACGCTAACATGGCTTACCTTCGTCTTTGTCTGGTCTAAACTGGTCTTCAATGGCATTAAAACGATAAAAACGATGCTGTAGTTAATCTATAGGTTAATCTAATGTGACTGCGTCCCCTTTGAAATGTTCTGATAATCCAAAAGCAATAAAACAGCTTTTCCGTTGCTTGATATGATATCAGAGCAGCGATATTTCTCCCCTCTGCTGCAAGCTAGCATGCGCAGAGAGGCCACCTTTTTTTTTTTTTTACATGAGTGTGTGCGGGACGATTTCCCTTGGATTCTATTGGCTCTAACGGTCAGAAAGAGATGTCACATGTCAAAATCGAAGAAGGGGGGCCAGAGATAAGGAAAATCCACCCAAATGGCCCCAGAAGAGGGTTTTTTTGCTAAATCTGTCTAAAAAGGTCAAATATCACTTGTTTTGCATCAATCTTGATACAGGGTACTTATTATATGTTGTACTTTGGATTCCTAAAGCGTTTAGTCTACTAACCCATCATCCAAGGTTAGTTTTCACTATAAGTACAAAATATTTTTTGGATGGACACTATAATTTATAGTTTTTTACCATGTTCAATCTGAATTTTCTTTAAAATAAAAAAATTCTATATTGATTCTGACTTTTCTCCAACTCACAGGTTTATCATTACTTTGAGAAAAAAAAGATTATTAATTTAACCCTTTTAGAAGGGAAGATATGGTCATTTGTTCTGGGAATGTCATTTTCGAGCCTGAAACCTTAAAAACAGGCTTGGGGCCTAACAGCTTAAAACCCTAAAACCCCTATTGCTAACTCTCCATACTTCCCCAAGATAAAGTGATAACTACAGTACAAACAGATTTCCTAGAGACACTACTGTAGAATCAATTGGAAAAACGTGTCAGTGGCAACATTTTACTTACTGAATACACATGAGAGAAGCAGGCCTACATGTATATCCACATAATGAGTCAGCTCTGTAATATTAAAGATATAATATACAATAATGGCTTTCGTGGCAGTTACATCTGCTGACCTCTCCTGGGAGCTCAGCGCAATTATTTACCCAGTAGAAATTCATAGAGCAAAGCTAATGCAATTCATCCAAGAAAAGAAGATGTGGCTTTCTCAACTTATTTTCAATTAAAGATGATCTTATGGGAGAAAGAAATAGCTGTGTGGATCTTTTATCCAAGTGACTTGAAATACCTACAACCTAGTTTGAAATGCAATAATTGAGTGTCAGCATGGATGTGTGGTAATTATTGCTGACAAGGTGGACGGGTGTTAATCTACTGTTTGCATTTCCATGTACAAACCTGGTCAACCCCTGAATTTCTTGTTTTGCTATACAGCCTCATTGTATACTGTCGGCATCATTGAAAAACTCCTTACTCTGTATTCAGTGCACGTTCTTGTCAAACTGAATGCTTGCTGAGGTCAACTGGTTCTCCCTAGATCAACAAGAGTCTGCAGCCACGCTAGCTCTGTGAGGCTATGCTCAAGCTAAAGAGGGAAGAGGGAACCTTGCATCTTAAGAAAAAATTAGCTTTTTAATTCAAATGTTTGTATATTCGCACACATTTGAGGGACAAGGCTAAGATTGTTAAAAATCAAGTATTAAGTGTGCAAACTGTTAACATCAAAGATATAAGTTGATTTGACTTTATTCATAGGTTAATCAACAAAGGTGGTAGGACTCATATAATTATTGTGACTTTACAGTAAAGACATGTAAGCTTAAGCTGCATATTTTGTGTTCCAACAGGTCCGTCTCTTGTTGGGACTCTGAAGAAGGACTGGGCCTCTCCGAACAGCATTGCTCTCTCGTGGCAGCAGCCGGAACAAACACCGCAGGGCATCCTCGACTACGAGATCAAATATTATCAGAAGGTATATTTACTTTTGCTGATAGACAGGTCCTGTCTAGAATATAAGAGCAGTAGTAGTTATAGATCAAGCAAGTGTGTGATATATGTTGAAGAACAATCATTTGAAATATTTGAGTTTAAACAAGAACATCTAGCTTAGACCAAAAAAACTCTTGGTTCCTTGCTTATAGCTAACTAATTGTCACATGACACACTGTTGATGTTAGACTTCATTCCAATGGTTACCATAATGCTAACTGAATTTGTTTGCAATCCCCTTAAGCTTAACATTGGTATACTGTATGTTTATCTAAATGTCTTACGAAGGAGACTAACAACTAGAAACAACTGGATTTGAATAGGTTTGATATCAAGACAACTAAAAGCTTTTCCAATATGCATAGCCTCTTATACTATAATTAAACATAATTTATGCCCATCATGTTATCTGGATTGCGTACTATATGGGCTTGTTTTCAAACACCTCTTCTAGAAATAAGTCCTTAGAAGAAAACAATAGATCAATGGCTATTTGTAAATTAGGGGTTAAAGTAATACAGATGTGCTGATTTTTGCAGAATGAGATGTGTATGAATAACCCAAACTAAATAATCCTTTACCACAGTCATGCATCTAAAAGAGTTCAAATATATTGTGTAAGTCTCTAATAAAAATCACATTGTTCAAATTGTTGGACAGATGTTTTTAGTTGTTAATATATGCTGTCAATATTGATCAGCAATTACAATTTGATATGTTAATATTGTATTTAGGTATAGTTTATTATTTTTTAGTACCCATGTTTGACATTCCCAGCCCTTTGCAATGTTGATTTGCAAGCACAATCCTACTGCAGCACTTGGATATTCAACTAGAATAGCTCGGACCGCACTATGAGCAGCTGGATTTGGGCTGAGTTTCCTCAAAAGCCAACCACATCAGCTTCTATCATGTTATCAGTCAAGAGAATGGCCCTAACCATCCCTCCTAAGAGAACACACTTTGTTTTGTTTTGCTGCCGTTTAATGGTCCCATGGAACAAATACATTCTGTAGTACCAATTATAGGATTATAATGCACTCTAAGTATGCTTCCAAGGAAAAATAATAACCCTTTTTAAAGCTGAATAGACAATTAATGTATGTTCATTATGCATAATTGTGTGCCAAGCATTACTTTTAAATGACAAAGCAGTACAACTCTCGATGATGGTAGTTTAATAAAATGATGTGTGAATTTTTCTAAAGCCTGAGGGCAAGCCTTGTCACTGGTTGCACAAACAGCAAGTATTAGTGTTAATCGAGGTAAAGCTGTCCTTCAGGCACTAGATCATGTTTTATCTAAACCTGTCCTCAATTGCTTGGAATCCTTTTCCCTCTCTCCCAAACAGGAACATGAGCAGTTGAGCTATTCCTCAACACGCACCAAGGCTCCCAGTGTGATCATCTCAGGTTTAAAACCAGCCACATGGTACGTCTTCAGTGTTCGCACCCGCACGCCCGCTGGATACAGCTCCTACACCCCTAAATATGAATACAAAACTACAGGAGACTGTAAGTACCTGAAACCATCTGAAACATCTGTCTTGTCCTTCTTTGAACATGTGTATTGGCACCTTTTTCATAGCTAAATTATGTGACAGAAAAAGAAAATCAAGTTTAAAGCATGTATTGGCGCCTCATCCTTCAAACGACTAGAAAGAACTTTTGGATTTAGGTTAGCATTATTTGTATGTACGTTTTAGGCTTAGGATCAGTTTAAACTTTTGCATGAAAATAACAATTTAAGCAGAGGAACAGCATCAGCAGGCTGCAAGCAGCAGGTCAGGGTCAGATGAAGTTCATGTACTGTAGCCTGGAGCAGCGCTCAGGGCAGCCTTCACCAAGAGCACAACAGCAAATAATAAGGCTGGATATGAGCCCACCAACAGCAGCATCCTGTCTAGCATCCAGACAAGCAACTTCTTCATAAACTTTGGAAAAGTACCCAATAAGGAAATAAATCATAGTATATGACAAAATCACAAATTATAGCATAGCACTGCAATGGTCCAACTTTGTTAAAATTCAGGTCAAGTTTCTCCACTCTTAAAATTCTTAAAACATCATGCACATTTTTGCTGATATCTATCGTCTGTTTCTTTTTTCACAGCTTACTACAGGGTGTCCGTGGGGTTTTAAAAAGTATTAAAAGTTGGTAAATCAATTTAGCGAAAATTAAGGCTATTAAAAAGTATTAAACGGCATTTTCCAAGGTATTAAGAAGGTCCACAGCAACGACAACATGAAACACCCTTTTACAACGACATGTCGGGAAACCCCCTCAAGGCGGCCCCATGCATTGCACAGCGCCGTAAAATTCTGCTTCTTATTTTAAGTTTCGTTGCCTTGCTCCGCCTGGGGGGGGGGGGGGAGAGTGTTTTGGGGTGCCACTGATGGTGATGAAAGCTGGTTCGAGGGCCCACAGACTCTAGAATCGCCACTGTCGATAGGGATCACAGCTGTCCGGTCCCACATGCTAAGTAATAGCCAGAAAGCCGCTGCGTTTAAGTCCCAACTCTCCCGATAGCCAATCCGTGCCTCCCCTGACTGCATGTCGCTGACACACACCGCTGCAGACTCTCTGCACGAAGGAGCAGCGGAGTCCGGCCGATGCTGCTCCTCCAAGGAAGAGACACACGTTCACTAAGCCGAACTATAGCCGGTCAGTGATCTGCTATTTTAAAGTAAAGTCAACACTACTTTCGAATGGTTTCTTTTTCTAATAAACCTTGCATTGGGTTAGTCACACAATTCATTATCTTGTGTTTTGTTCTATCACAAGCTGTTTAGTTGTGCTATTTTAAAATGCATACTATAGTAAATGTGAGGTAAAGTGTGTCGCCAATGTAACCGGTTAGAACTCGAAGTGGCGATGAGGTCTTAAAATGTATGGAAAGGGTCTTAAAAAAGGTCTTAAAAGGTATTACATTTGACTTCAGGATTCCGGCATATACCCTGTACTATCACTTTGTATGAAATCAACTTGTTCTTACTGTTTATTATGAACAACCTTATTTGGGACCATAGAGACATTATAAAATGAACAGGCCTGGTATTACAGTTAATAAAACCTGTTAAAAATAATCCACATTATTTTATCACAATTCCTGTGTGCCTCTGAATTGGATTCTCTAGGAATATAGTTCAAGGACTGTAATGCTATTCAGATACATGGTAATGGAGGCATTTCAGAAGCACATATTTCATGATTTTCACAGTGTAAGTCTTATAGTTCAGTGCTTTTAATGCAAAATGCGAGTGTAAAGCATTGTAATAATGTCAGGTGAGGGTTCATTATTGAGTTCTAAAATGTATCCGTACTATTGTCGGGTCGCCTATCTGTTAACTGTGTTTACATTGCAACCCTAATCTTTAGCCTTCCTACAGCGTGACTTTATATAGGTTGCATTCACCCTAAACTCTTTAAAGGTCAGGATATCAGTTACAATAGCTATTGAAATATTGAATACAATCCACAAGAGAGTCTGACAATAAAGCCTTGATGTTTGGAGTATTTTGAATCAATATTTTTCTGTGTGTCTGAGCAGTAGCTTTATTGCAAATCTAGTCATAAAATACAAAGGTCCAGCTGCCCTTTTATGTTGGTGCAGGTATTGTTGAGAGGTGATTTGGCTTGGCAGTGGCCCTCTCCCTTCCAAAGCTGCGGAGCTTTGCTTTATCTGCGGATCAGACAGTGCTCGGCCCAGCCTTTGTGTAGCCTGGCCTTTTATCTGAAACAGAAAGCAGATTTGGCCTCTGTCGCTCTCTCCCTGCCTGTCAGTCTGTCTGTCTGCCTGTCAGTCACTGTCACTTCCGCCTCTCTCTTTCTCTCCTGTTTGTCTTTACCTCGCTTCTGTCACCCATTTTCCTCAGACCTCACCTTACATTCTCTATCCTGTCCTCTGCAACCTTCCTCTCTATCTACACACACACACACACACACACACACACACACACACACACACACACACACACACACACACACACACACACACACACCTCATTACAGCAGCAGCTTCAGTCCAACACATCTGCTTAGTTAGTGATGTGAAGAGTGTGTGAAGCTGACGCCTGGGAGGATTTGTCTCGTGTGATCTGGCCACCGCCACTTTCACTCTCCCTCCCTCTGAGTGGACTGTAATTACTTTTATCCAGCCAAACACACACACACACACACACTCACAGACACACACATTCTTGACACCCACATACTGTATAAACTCACACATGAGCCTCTCTCTTTGGGCTGGCGACCACGCACCCTGATCTCCAATTCATATTCATTAAGCGTGAAATATTATAGAAATAAGTTTGGTAATAGCAATCATCTTTCAATTATCTTGGATTCGTTAGCTTTGTGACAAGACACAGAAAAGGGAAAATCATGAATATCAAATGGGACCAATTTAACCAAATGATCATGGACTAAATCACAATTTCATGAATGAATAATATTAATTAAACAGCAGCAGGCATATGAATCATTCCAGTACCAAAGCTGACGGCGGGTTTTCTGCATTACAAAGAGCTGATCAGACGTCTCTCCATAATATCTGCCCATGTACACTGATGGAGTAGATTATTGAAGATGATGGTGAATGAAAAATGTGCGCTTTGTTCTCACTTTACCCTGCCTCACGTCTAATTTACTTATTTTCTCTCCCCACTGCTTTTATCATCTGCACCTCGCTCTTTAGATTTCAAAATACTGCTGCTGGTTTATAAAGCACTGAATGGTTTAGGCCCAAAATACATTTCTGACCTCCTGCTAAATTATGAACCATCCAGATCTCTCAGGTCTTCAGGGACTGGTCAGCTTTCTGTCCCCAGAGTCAGAACTAAACATGGAGAAGCAGCGTTCAGTTATTATGCTCCAAATATCTGGAACAAACTCCCAGAAACCTGCAGGTCCGCTACAACTCTGACTACTTTTAAATCCAGGCTGAAGACTTTTCTTTTTGTCGCTGCTTTTAATTGAACTATTCACATCTTAAACTGCACTGTAACTTTTATCCATGTATTTTTTCTTTTAATGTTTATTTTATTAGCTTTTCTTTTTAATGACTGATTTTAAATGCCTTTTTCTTAATGTCTTTCATTTTTTGTAAAGCACTTTGAATTGCTTTGTGTTGAAAAGTGCTATATAAATAAACTTGCCTTGCCTTGCCTTTACACTGAACTTCTTAAACTTCCCGTTCCACATCGTTTTTTCATTCTCTCTTGTCCCACATCTTCCGGTTCTTCTTCTTCGTTGCCTTCCTATTCACCTCCCTTTATGTTCAACCTTTCCTCTCATTTCTTTCCTCGTAACTAACCTCTATTATTTTCTCTTTTCAGCATCAGACATTGCTTCGGACCAAGGCCAGGTGTTGGTCATCGTCACAGCAGCAGTCGGCGGCTTCACCCTCCTCGTCATCCTCACCCTCTTTTTCCTGATCACTGGAAGGTAAAGAGCAATTCACTATTCACTATGTATGCAAAGAGACTCTCATTCATTGTGTTGCTCCTTTAATGTGTGGCTTAATTTCAAACTGATGTACTTCCATGCATATTAAGTTCCTTTCTCTGATATATTGATACAAATATTTCTCTTTTTTTCTTGTCAGTGAAGTTTTATTGTAATGTAAATCCTGTTGCTGAGTATTCTCAACTTTTAGGATTGTTCCATTCCCCATAATCATCCAATGTAACTCACCTGTTTTTCTGTAAAGAGCCCTTATTTTTTGTAATGCTGTCAACTGCCCAATCCCAATGTCCACACTGACCGGATGCCGTTTGGAGGTGCGTTCCCTAAAGTCCAGAGGGTTTAAGCCGATACCATTGTCGAATCGTCTAATGCTTGAAGGCTCTAAAACAGACATTTTAAACCCTATGCACACTTACGGTAAGTCCGCATTTCTGCAGCCATTGCCTGAGGGAATTACCGACAATTGTGACATTAAACACAGGGTTACCAGAGGAAATCCAGAGGAGCTTGAGAGCCAAAAGGTAAACAGAGTAGGAGACTCATGACTACATTTTCCCAGAAAAAAACATGGAGGATTTAAAATGATGATCAAGATATCAGAGAAATGTAGGCATATGCTGCATTATTATTTTCTGCATAAATGATCTGCCACATCATAGACTATATGCATTACATTAATGCCCACAATGTTCATACTCCTTACTGCACATATTCTTATTTCCCATTTCATAGTTTATATTCTAAAATGCATTCATAGCATTCGATTTCCATGTAAATTACTGCTTTATTTTTATTTTTATTGCTATTTAACTATATGTTATTATGGTGTAAAAGTTTTTTTGTTTTATATTAGATTTCTTGTTTTTTATATTTTATGTATGCACCATGGCATCAAGTCAAATTCCTAGTATGTGCGAACCTACCTGGCAATAAACCTGTTTCTGATTCTGATTATAATACACTGCCATATTGATACCATGAAAGGTCCTTGCAGCCTCTCCCAGTCCCTCATGTTTTAGGGCTTAAGGCCTTTGAAATTGGGCAATTATGTCATTGCAATTCATCTAAATCTACCACCAACTGAAAACTATAAAAGGGACAATCCCAAAGTTTCAAAGGAAACACATTTCACTTTCTTGTTAATACAACTTGCCAATGAGCTATCATTATGCCTGGGGTTTTACTGGATAGCCGTTTCAAAATGTCTACTTAATAGGTTGACTTTTTGGTGTTCCTTTCTTTACCTAGAGTACTTTACAAGCTTTCTTATCCCCTTGCCTCGCAGTTAAGAACCTCAATATTTCCTCCAGTGAGAATATTAAAGAAGCTTTTATTATTTAAAAAAATATGGATTATAGCTTCTTTAAAGATATTATTGTATTAGGCTTTTGTAACTGGTCCTCATTATTGAGATAGACTGAACCCTAGAAAGATATACTTCTTAAAGCATTTGTCACGTAAGCATCTGACTTGGTAACAGAGATGATGAGAGACATTTACACATGTGTTCTTAAGCAAAGCCTCAGTAAGCCCAGACCTTTAGACAGTAAAGCATTTGAGAGAGGAGTGCACAAAAACAAGAGCAGATAATTATGGTTGATTGCATATTCTTCTGAAATTACCAGGGTTCATATGATTTGCATATAGAATTTCAACCTCTGAGGGCATTTGTAAATAATGAGTGTAATTCAAAGGACAGTTAGGGGGGGGGAGAGGACCTAAGTTAACCTTTATTCTACATAAATGTCAGCAAGAGTGATTAAAACTGATTGTTCTATTGTGATATGGATGCATCTACCATTAATTAGATACTCCAGAGAACAAATCTACACTCATCTCTCTATTGAAATGACAAAATGTAAACGTTGCATGTTTTTCACACATCCTGTCACATGTGCTTTCACAGCTTCTGAAAATCCAATTTGGGACAACCCATGAATAGGAGCCTTTATATCGTGCTGCTAAATCTTCCATGAATCTGAAGTTGTCAACACATTGGGTGTTGAAAGGTGGTAATGTTATCTAACAAACCATTTAGGACTGTGACATCATCTGCCTGAAGTGATCATGAACACTGGAACATTTGGTATTCATTCGCTGTCGTTTCCCCAAAAAGCCCACTCACACTAAACTTCTAAAACAGCAATACAGCAAAATCTATGTATTCTAAAGGATATGATTTGAGGGGGTGAAGTCAAATCTATGAAATGTTTTACTTAGAGTTGAACTTGGATGAACTGTGATTCAATTGGGGAGTTGACCAGTAATAGACCATGCTGACAATGCTGTTAGGAAGGTCCAACGATGAGGCAAGCTACCCACACTCATTAGCAGTGTTACATCACTTTAGTTAAACCGTGCCAGAGTTCAAACTGCTTCGAGGTGGGACTAGGTCTTCATGGTTCTTCCCATTCCAGCATGTCTCTTTCATATTCTACAGTCACTGTATGCACTAATGTATGAACTGAGAGATTTCATACAAGTGTGCTCTTGAAATCCTACTGAGCTCTCATCCCAGAATAAGACTGATGCAATCCCAGGTGCTGAGTGCGAAAGGTGCAAATCTATTGAACACAGTGGACAGTTCATGCATTTAGCCCCTCAGTCTCTCTGGAGCCACGATCTGGCGCCCATTAGGGAAAGTGCAGCTCTAAATCCTTGCATATTGGTTGCAGCATTGATCCGTGCTGGTTGCCAGAGATTTTCCACTAAACTTCACAGATATGAGATGAGAGTTTTTATCACACTAGGTGCACTACCTCACAGGCAAGTCCTTTAAAGCTGGCATGATGTTAAAGTCAAAAGGAATTTAAGGTCCATCACTTTAAAAATAAACAGAGTGTTTGTCTTATTTTTATGATGTGATCCTAATGTGTGGGAGTGTGCTGCTGTTTATTTTAGAAACTCACCCACCAGGTGCAATAGCTAAAGCAAGCCCTTTAGGCTTTTTGTTTTCAGGCACAAGAAGGGCCTTTTTTACCTGAATCCTGCTAAAAGCAGTCGAAGAAGCAGTTGGGAGTGTTTTTTGACTTCATCACAATCTGTCATCACTGCGATCCTTCTGCCCCGTGTAGGAGGGACTTTCACTCTCTTTCGATTTAAAAAAAAAAAAACTCCAAATGTATTTGAGCTGCCTGTGAAGGATGAGAGCTTTCAGTCGCGCAGCTCTTATAGATGTTAGGTTGTTGAGCGAGAGTGGTGATGTAAGAGGACGCGCTGTACGGGGAGTTTTAACACCTGGTTGCTCTAAAAGCTTACGCCTATGTTTGCATCTGCTCATGCTACATTTGAAAAGTGAATACTTCTGGAGCCAAGCTGTCACCACTGTAACGGAGCTGAATACGGTGTGCTCTTTATCCTTGAGTTGCTTGTCAGTCTCTGCAACTCTTTTGAGGTTTCTTCATGTATTCTTTCATCCTTTGTGCCCGTGTCCTCTGTAGCTGCAGATAGATGCACCATGGTGAGGTGAGGGATGTTGGAGCTAGAGAAGAGTGGTTTGAATTACACTGATGCTTTGATTAGGGCTCTTGGCTAGGTTGTTTTACTGGAGTGTATGTGTGGGTGGGTAAAGTGCTTGTGAATATGTACCGTAACAATGCTCAACAGCCCAGAGAGCAGTGGTAGAAGGCTAGGTCTTTGTGTGTGATAACTGTCTTCGTGTGTGTCTGTGTCTGCATGTGCGGCCTCTTTTCAACATGAAAGCTAGAGAGACAGAAGGATAGGCGGATAAAGGGGATCAGAGGATAGGACTGGAAAAGACTGATAAAGGCACATGCCACCATTTCTTTAATGAACAGCTTGACCCCATCAGCAGAGGTCAACAGTAGCTTTCCAAATCCCCTTCTTTTCCCCTCTGCCAGTGTTACCCGCCATGTTATCTGCTCTGTCTATCAGTGTCCACAATCCCACAGACTTCACTTAGCCGGAGCCCAATCTGGCAACCTGCGGCTCGTAGCCCCCTGACTCCTGCTCTAATGTGGCAACCCGGATTATGTTAAGTCTTCAAAGAGAAGGAGGCTCACATGTGATCTCATGGAAACACACACACATACTTTCTCTACTCGTATTTGTGGGCATTTTCATTTTTTTATTTATTTGCACTGCATAATTTGGCAGTTTTTCGAGACAATACTCGCTACCATTGTTTGTTGGATTGTTTTTGGTTAACAGTTACTGAGTCAGCAGATATATCATTTGTGTTTCTGCCCAACTGTTAGTGAATGTTTTTTATTGTTTAGATCTATAGCTCCCGAGAGATAATATAGATGGAAATGCTTTTATGAGAGTTTGAATTCATTGAAATATATAGTTATTACATTTTTAATTTCCGGGGACTTTCCCTTTTTTCAGTACAATAAAGAGGCTTGACATCTTAAATGTGTCTATAGTCAGGGTAATGCTGAACAGAATTGTTCTGAACCTCTTAGCAAACCTTTGGAAATACAATATATTTCAAATATACGTGGCAAAATGTAATGTGATTTTCTGCATTTTGACTCTGAAGTGACTTTCCACCTAGTATTTCGAAGTCTATATACCACATCGGTGGACTAACTTTGTGATAATACATATCTAAATCTTAAATATCTGTCTTTCATTTGAATACATACCCACAAATGAAAATGGAAATCCTCTATAAGATCTGTTAACATATTCTTTCCGTATCAAACACAGCCAAGTTCTGAAAATAACGGACAGACCACTAAAGTAAGAGTGAATACAGAGAGATATGGAAATCATGTCCTGTCCCACCTTTACAGCATTGCGATAAATAAAATACTCGATTATCATTTGTTACACGAAAAAAAAATTATTTGAACATTGTCAAAAAATGTGTTTTGATTAATGAATTATGTTCTTTTTGTTTGTTTGATGTTTGTTGTTTTCCAGAGCAGGGGGAAAATGACAGCCTTCCAAAAATATTCTGCTTTTATCCGTATCTCATGCCAAACGCATTATTATCATAAGAAAAACAAGTCAAAACCTTGGGTGTTCTCATTTAAAAGATGTTTTAAGTGTGGTGTAACTCTAAGAAACTGGCAGAAGAATTCTATAGTATGTCTATTAAAGCTGAAATATAATAAAATGTATTGGGGGGTCCACGAGTGAGAAGTGGGAGTGAAGGTCTCTCTCGCTCACGGTCATTAATTAAGCCCTCTACTGCAAAATAGGTTATAAAATTCATCAGTGATTGTGCCTGTGAGAGTACCTTACTTCATATCATTATTTTCCATCTCAGCGCTCTTCCCCAGCCTCTCCCTCCCACACACCAAGCTCCAGATACTTCATCAGCACTGCAGGTCCTTTCTAAGTCTTGGCGTGTGTGAATGAAGCCATCACTGTTCTTTCAGGTAGCGGTCAACGATATTTGAATGACAAAAAGCAGGCTTTATATAACCTTACAGATGTGTACTATATACATTTTTCAATCATACATGTTGTTGAAGTTTTATTGTGATGGAAACACAAAGAGAAGAAAGTGACTTCTGTCTGTATTTCATGGAATTACCTCTGAAGGGTCCAAACATGGGATTGCATTTGAGATTAATCTGCATTCTAAATTACAATAGGGTTCATTTATAGTCCCTTTTCACAGTATTTGAGTGTGTCCTTAACAGCAAAGTTATTGTATATATTGTTGGTTCAATCATTTACAGTGACCCTGTGTTAAAGATATTCTTAAAAGATATTACTGTCAAGGCACCAGTAGTATGTCATATTAAATATATGTTAAAGTTGCAAAATAAGTAGTCTATAGGTGGTTGCATACACAACGTGTGTGGCATGGGAGGCTGTGGTTGCTGACAACATTACTGAATTTCCCCACGGAGATTAATAAAGATCCATCTTATCTTATCTAATCTTTTAAACCATGACGTTAATATGTGTCAACATGACAATATTTTCCTACTTAATCCAAGTAGTTTAGATTGCCTAAACTTCACTAAATGTATAACAGTATGTGTGCAACACTCAGTTGGTGTAAGGTGGCACCAATGCAAGTTCCTAGACCACTTAGTCTAAAAAGTATCTTAGTTTAAACTATTGTTCCATTAAATAAATTCCCAAACCGTTTGTAAAGTTCCAATATAATCAGGGAAGGCAGGTAAAACTCAAATAAGGGTTTATTAAAAGTAAATGACAGTGTTGGGGCAGGTTATCTCCATCCACATTCCATCAAGGTATGGCACCCTAAAAGAGCCAACAAAAACATGACCTTAGCAGAGTCCACCCGTATACCGTAGCACTATACATCTGTATGTACAAAAAAACTCATGACAAATGTTAAGTGGTCATTTTATTTTTTCCTCAAATATAACACTGTGCTTAATTGGCTTTTACTTGATTATTCTGTGTCTTGTCTGCACACCGTGCTTTGCCTTGAACTCTGTTTTTGGTTCTATGTGTGATTCTGACAGGGTACTTTGTGTTTTCTCTACTTTTTATTTCAGAGCAGCATCTATTTGGATAAATTCTTCCTCTTGGTCTTTTGCAGATGCTGTCATCTAATCTCTCAGCTTTTCAGACTTTCTTGGCAGCAGCTTTTTTTATCAGTCGTTGGCTGTCTCCCGGTGTCTCAGTGCCCAGATAACTCTCACACAAACAGACCACAGACGCACACATGAGGTCGGGGGAGCGTCTGCATCAGGGATTCAAGTGTTTTTCTCTTTTATAGAATTTAATTATATAACATTTAATTATCTTTGTGAAAGACTTTCTGTTCAATTTATTTTATTTGAAATGTGGGTGTATGTGTATACTTCTGCACACAACTTTCCTTTGTATTATTTAACCTGGAAACCATCTCTTCCAGGGCCAGACTCAACGTCTTCCGGAAATATTTTCTTCAAATGATGATCGTCAAACACTTTGCTTGGTTTCATTCTCTTTCATTTCCTATTTAGTGTCATTCATTCTCATTTTAAATTGCCTCTGTGATGTTATGGTACAATGAGATAGTTTAGGAATGTGTTCAATGTAAACATGTTCTGGTTTTCAGCAAAGAATGACTTTATCCCTACTAGTCATTAACTATTACTCCAGTCACCTACAGAACAGCATGTCACAACGTTTTTGAAGTTTTTATCATAATTCATTTGAACACAAAACCAAATAAGACTTGTTATTCCAGGCTGCTCAAGGGTCCTTCCCATGTAGTGTAGGGGTCCCAGATATTAATATTGTTGCACATTTAAGGGAAACCCCTTTAACGCTGTCTGTTAATGTGTTTTCCAGGTGTCAGTGGTACTTTAAGGCCAAGATGACTTCAGAGGAGAAAAGGACCAATTATCAGAATGGACATGGTAAATCTATCAGTCTACCTTTCTTTTCTCACTGTGATAACAGAGTTAAGAGTAACTTTAAATGATATCGTAAAGACAGAATGGGGAAATCTGCAAAGTCTACATTTGATATTGTATTGAAATAAAACATTGGTTTAAAGTATGTATTTGTCTGAAATAACGTTTGCAAGACTTCCTTAAGATTTGGTGAGTCAGGTTTCATTTATTTATTTGTGTCTTTGCCAAAAAGAGCAGAGGAAAAATTGATTATTTGAGCCACAGTTAGCAGCTAGCAGGCTAACCACCTGCTCCTCTTTGCATTCAGCAAGCACTACAGTAGTGCTGCTCCATGGATCATTTCCTGTGTTTCTGTGCCTATGCATATTTTAATGTTGCACAGCAATGACGGCCCACATTACAAAGCGTGTACAGAATGCAAAATATTGACTTGCTATTGTTAGAAATGCTAGCAAGAAAAAGAAGTAGGAAATGTGGCATGTATACGGTAGTTTTAGACATTAAGACATTAAACTAGTCAACAGAGCAAACGCTCCTTCATCTCCTTGTCTCCCCCTCTGCAGCACTCCTCCTCAACTCCCCTTGAGTTTCATTTGATGTTCTACTTGAGCGTTTCTTTCTTTCTGTTTTGATTAATCTGGTTACATGCTGCATCCCTGAGCTGTCTACTTCTGCACTCTTCTACCTTTCCTTCTTTTGTTTTTTAATACCCAACTTTTCATTCCTGTCATGAAAATCACAAATGAAAATGAGAGTTGCAAGATGGAAAAAAAGGAAGATGTTTAAAAGTGAGCGTAGAGGCAAAGATTGGAGCGGGACAAAAGAAGATTGGTAAAACAGAAAGGAGAGAGAAATGAGGGAATGAAGGGCAACCGAAGGTAAGGTAGAGGAATAGAGGAATGAGGTGACTTTAAGAGAACTATTTAATTAAGGTTTAGAAACCAACATACATATATCCAAAGGTTAGAGAAGAAATAAATACTGAATATTTTAGCTGGCTAACAAGCTGCCACATTTTCTATGTCATTTTATGTGTTTTCAAAACCCTGTACCTCTTGTCTAAAGTTTAGAGGTGTTTAGCAGAAGCTACAGGAGGAGAAAGGGCTCAACGGGTTTGCTGGTTCATGCATCAGAGACGACCCATTGTCGTTTCTGTTTTCTGTATGGATTCCCTGAAGGAGAAAAGCTGCCTTTGTCTAGCCCCCCCACCCTCACCCCCCCTCCACTAGGAGGTCAGAGGCAGAACAGCAGCAGGCTGTTAAAGAGTCACTGACTTGCTCAAGGACACTTCAACAGGGTGGACGCTGGCTCAAACCTTGCCCCAGTTAAAGACTGGCTCAGCATGCCGCCCTGCTGCCTCTCAGCCAAAGACAGAGGGAGAACAATCTATCAGCGGGGTGTTCGGTTTGTGTGTGGAAGTCTCAGGGAGGTAAAGATTTTGCTGCTGTGCTTTGTCGGAGAGCAGATATTGAACATACAGACGGGATGAATTGTTTAATTTGCTCCCAGGTCATAGTAAAAACAAGTGGGAAAATGGCTCATAAGCTATTTGTCTAAAGAGAGACCATATTGATGTTGAATTCATTTGTATTGTCGCTTAATGCAGGGCTGCTCACTTGGCAGATATTTTTTATCTAGATGATGCTTTGGTGTTACACATTTATACTTTTTTGGTCTGCGTACAATAAGCTGTGCAGGCAGCTTATTGTAGCTGGAAGTTGTTGTTTTTTTACAATCCATTTGTAAAGGTCAACCCCAAATTTCTTGGTTGGGTGTTTATTTTCCACATAACCAAAATATGTTAATATATTAATTGATCAAATCATATTTTTCTAGTATTTCAAATTGCACACTTTTCCCCTCCTGGTTGGTTAGAAGGCTCTTTGTTGCAGCAGCAGTAGGAGAAATAGTGGTTGTGGTGGTGAAGCAGTAGCAGTACTGTAGAGGTTAAAGGCAGTGACAGCCTATTTTCATACATCCTTTATTTCGAAGTTCAAATGTATGTTTATTTACAAAATCTTCATCAAATTTGAGCATTGCCCCTATATATTACTCTCTGTCCTCACAGTCCCGTTCCCTGGAATAAAGACCTATGTGGACCCTGACACGTATGAGGACCCCACGCAGGCCGTCCACGAGTTCACCAAGGAGATTGACCCCTCCAGGATCCGCATCGAGAGGGTGATCGGAGCCGGTATAACACACACGCCTGCACACACACCATAATACACTCATCCACTTGTATCTCTACTCTCTACCTTCCGCCATGTGGGCGAAAGTGGATCAGTTTGTGTTGGTAAGAATAACAATAGCTTTAAATGTGCCATAGGAGAGGATATATTTTAATTCCGCACGTATAATTGCCGTGAACCCCCTCCTCTCCATTGTACTCACTAAAGAGGAGGCTTTTTCCATTTCCCAGTGTCTCACTGTCATTTCCTCTGCGCAGACTGTAGGAATATTAAAGCTTAAAAAGGTTTAGAGAACAAAAGAACGTATAAGAATATATTTAAGGCTTTTTTTAGAAAGTGAAGGGGACAATTTCATGAAGTTGAACTAATCAGAGAAGAGGCAATAATGCTGGAGTTTAGATGGGAACTGCAACAGTGCCCCCCGGTGGAGGACTAACTGCCTGCTGATGGTGTGTGGTTCTTTTTCTGTGTGTGTGTTAGGTGAGTTTGGCGAGGTGTGCAGCGGGCGCCTCAGAACCCCAGGGAAAAAGGAGATCGCCGTGGCGATAAAGACCCTGAAGGGCGGCTATGTGGAACGTCAGAGGCGGGACTTCCTGCGTGAGGCGTCAATCATGGGCCAGTTTGACCACCCCAACATCATCAGGCTGGAGGGGGTGGTCACCAAAAGTAAGTAGTGTTGAGGAACATGCAATTTAACTAAGATTGTGCATACGATTACATGATTTTTAGCAATAGACCCTCACCACTAATTTATCTACCACTGATGAAACCAAACAAGTTTATTTTGCTTATATTGGAAAAACATATTTATAGATGTTAAAAGAAAAACATATTGAGAAATGTTTTGAAGTGGCTATAAAAAAAAAAGAAACGTGAACATTTTCACAGCCGAATTGAAGCATGCATTTCTTTGATGCTGCAGCAACAACACTGTTGATGACTGCCTGAAGCCGCTCTACTTCTTCTTTTGTACAATCCTCTTTTATGTGGTGCATATTCCTATGGACATTCACTCAGTTACTCTGATAGATAAAGAAAAGAACAGTGTCAGACAAACGTCTTTCTATTAGAGATACTGCAGAGACCTCAGTCTGATGGGTAAAGTCTGTGTTTGTTTTGAATGGAAAATGACAGTGAAATCATTTCATAGGGTTGCAATTTTTGGTATGGAACAAGAAGTCCTGATGTGTTTTTCTTCGAATGTATTTGATTAGTGAGCTGACGAAGTTTTCCTTTGTATATAGATAGATGTGTTTAGCCTTGTGTGTCTGTTCATGGACTTCTTGTACACACCAATAGTGATTGAGCGTGTGTGTGTGTGTGTGTGTGTGTGTGTGTGTGTGTGTGTGTGTGTGTGTGTGTGTGTGTGTGTGTGTGTGTGTGTGTGTGTGTGTGTGTGTGTGTGTGTGTGTGTGTGTGTGTGTGTGTGTGTGTGTGTGTGTGTGTGTGTGGACTTGTTAATGAGCCTTGTTTTACAGGGTTCACCCAGCGCAACATATGGTTGTTTTTACAAGGATTCGTATAAACTGAGACATCGCTGTGAATATAAATGTGTCCCCTTAAGACTTTCTTACCCCCCTGAATGTAGATAGAGGACACTCCTCAGCTCTGACCCTGCTGACAAGGATTCGGCTGATAAGGGTCTTTAAAGGCCAATACAGCCATTATTACATAAAAGCTGCTGGTTGCTGATGTTTAGCACCAATATATTAAACTGTATATTTTACAGTCAAACATCTCTGAAGCAATTGAGTGAAACAAATCCCACAGAAAACTGAGCAACATCGTATGAGGAAAAATAAATAAAAAATATTGTGAGTGGCCGGTTTTCATCTCATTAAGTACTTATATGTAGGTACTGGGGATAAAGATGTGACAGTGGGGTAAATAGAGAGACATTGTTCTTTAAAAGTATATATTTTCTGCCCGTCTTTTGTTTTTAGCTCACTTTCTCAATGTGTAACTCCCCACATCTGTTGTTGTTCTTCAGAGACTAATTATAGTGAGTATTGTGCTGTGACTGACTGCTGTACCTGCTCTGAAATAACAGGTGACACATTTGACTCTGGTGAACAGGTGCGTTTGTTTTTGTTCACGCGCTGCACTGCATAAGTATATATTGTTTTCAGTCATTGCTAATTAAATCAGGAAAGCCAAGCTTGATCAAATCATTTCCTGCCTATCCCTCCTGGATTGGTGTTGGGGAGAAGTATCTGCACATTTGAAGGGTATGATGAAACCATTTTGCAGATTAAAAAGAAGAAACATGTGCATGATTGTCTGTCAGTCTTTTGATGCATCCATCCATAAACCCAACGCGCCTTCTTTACTCTTGTGGAGGGTTAGGATCAACATTCCCCTTGAGTTGATGTTGTGCTTCATTTAATTATTTTAAATGATAAACTAATTCAAGCTGTTAGAAAGTGAATATCATCATGGTGAATATGTATGTGTATACCACAGAATGCTTGTTCTTAGGGTTCCTTAACTGCAAGACTCAACATCAATTATAATAACTACATTACATTTATGAAGGTGCAGATCACAAAGCATGCACATTTTCTCAAGGAGCTATTATTTGTTCACCCACACATGTTCAACATGTCTAACCTTAAGGTGCAGGAGGAGAGAAGTTCATGGCCATGAACATGGTTAGCATATTTATTTTACAATGTCTTGCATTTTGGATGTACCCAGATGCTTCAAACACATTTTCAAAAAGTGGCTTTGAGAATGATATCCAACATGAATTTGCCAAACTAAACCTCCATCTCCCTGCTTAAAGCCTTCCTCTTAAGATAAGATAAGAAGTACTTCATTGATCCCAATTTGGCATTTCTTTTGGCGTTAAAGCATGCAGCGTAAAAGACAAGGCAAAGTAAAAAACCTTTTTGAAATGTGTTTTCTAGTGCAGGCAGTACACTATATAAGTCAGGGTGGTACACAAACCGATTGGTCTATCTTGCTGTCAATCAACACATAGCCCTGGTTCTTACAAGCAAAATAAGCTAACATTATTTCTTGTAACCTTTGTGTTACTCTGCCGATCTAATCAACAGTTGTTTGTGTTCTTTTTTGGTAATGATGCTTCAGAAAACTATTTAGATTCCAAGTGCCGACCCATTAGTCCCATAATGATGGAAAGATGAGTAACATGGTTTTAATAGAATGGGCTGTTGAAAACCATAGTCCTGTTTAAATTCACCAAAATACTCAGATTAGGCTACAACGGTTATTTGTGTATTTTCTCTATAATGAGCTGTCAGTTTGGACTCTTTCTGATCAAATGTAATTTGTCACATTAAAAACCTTAAATGTTACTATTTATATCAAATCAATCTTTATTCAAAGATAATGTTCAAAACATCCCAGTTTAAAACTAGTGTCTGATTTCCAAAGGCTGATACATAGAAGCAGTACTCTCACAGTGAAGCTCTTGCCTGTCGGTCACAGCAATCATAAAACCATTGATGGGAGAAAGTGGATGGTGACAGATGTCATTTAGACTTGATTTGATATGTCACGAGCTGTTTCTCTTTATATCTCTTTGTGTCCGGATCAAAAGTGTTTACTCTATACAGTAAAGTGACACCGATATCACACATTGTGCTCTTATAAAACCGCAAACATCCTGCAGCCTATAAAGCCGTTCTGATGTATTATAGGAACACTTTTACAAATCCTCCCAGTGACATTAGAAGTGGCACTCCATCTTCCACAATATGATATTTCACAATCCCACATGATTTAAAAAAGCTCCTTGAATCTGGGGTGTGATGTCATGGTGTTTCTTCACTACATTAAGATTTGTATTTCTCTTTCCAGCAGCTCTGAATGTTGTACAGCTCACACAGGCGTGGACAACCGCCGCCCAGCTGTAGAGCAGTCAATCTGTAGCACCGTAGGGATCCTCTGTGGGGAAACAATAACAGTTTGTGTGTTTGCACCTGTTTCCAACTAATGTTTCATGTAATACATGGACTGAATACTGAACACGTCCCTTCGGAAATTATATGATTTGAGCGTCTTCACTCGATGCTTCAATCAACAGCTGATGGTCTGTGTGTTTCCACAAACATATTGTTGCTTTCTATTGCCCAGCCACACACACATACACACATATTAGGGCGGTGGTGGCGAAGTCGATAGGGACTTGGCTTGGCAACTGGAAGGTCACCAGTTTAAGTCCCGGCAAGACCAAGTGCTACCGAGGTGTCCCTGAGCAAGGCACCGTTCCCTACACTGCCCCCCGGGCGTCGTTCAAAATGGCAGCCCACTGCTCCTAACACTAGGATGGGTCAAATGCAGAGAAACAAATTCCCCACGGGGATTAATAAAGTATATCAAAAATATCTACACAGTGTGATGTTGTCCCACCTGCATGACTCAGAACAATATCTTGTGCTCCATCAGAGGTGAAAGCCATGACTAATAGTTTGAGTCATTAATATAACATGCTGATCTGAATTGCCCCATGTTTTCATGTTGTTCCGTGTGCACAAGTTTAGATGCTAACAATACATAATAGAGGATAAAAGATGCATTGACATTTGAAAATGGAGGTGTTTTGCATAATAATCATAATATCTGATTCAGCATCATGCCCATCCAATATGATGGAAATAATTGCAGTTTTACACTTGTGATTTCACAGAAGCCCTGATACTGAGTTTATTATAAAGGGATATTAGTGTGTTGTTCACACATGCAGTCATTCATGTGCTTAAAAATCACAAGTTATTTCATTTATTATGCTCAAAATATGTTGAATTTTAGCAAGAAAAAAATCAATTTTGATAAAAATCATCACAATATTTACTGATTTATTTTATGAGCTTTAAACTGTGCATCATAGTATTTGTTCAGAAAGTGATGATGGCTGATGATCAGCTTCTACAGTACTTTCCATATCTTATCTTTCCGTGTGTTGCGTTTGTGTGTTTGCAGGCAGGCCTGTGATGATTGTGGTGGAGTATGTGGAAAATGGATCACTGGACTCGTTTCTGAGGGTAAGTGTTGATGTGATCGGAGAACTCAAGTATGAATATATCTGTTTCCTGCCTCAGGATAGCAAGATCACCTTTGATCTCAGTTTAACTATAGTGCACCATAGCTATGGGCCAAGTGTATTTAAAAATGAGTAATACAGGCTTGTTAACTTTGTCACTTTGTTGGCTCCTGGAAGCTTAAATAAGAGCTATTGTCCTATCAATAAACTGCCAGCATGATTCTTAACATACAATTGTTTCTTTCGACAAAATCACTGTCAGTATTCCCTGTTGTTTATCATGTAGCTCAATGCATACCATTATGATTCTATCAGTGTTATCCTTTGTCTTTTTTTGTTTATGCTATCGACCCTCCTTCTTTCTCTTGTTGCTATTTCTGCTTTTCTGCCATGACTTCTGATTCTTCCCTCTGTCCTGCTCTCCCTGTCAGCAACACGACGGTCACTTCACTGTCATCCAGCTGGTGGGCATGCTGCGTGGCATCGCCTCGGGCATGAAGTATCTGTCAGACATGGGCTACGTTCACCGAGACCTGGCAGCTCGAAACATCCTGGTCAACAGCAACCTGGTGTGTAAAGTGTCAGACTTCGGCCTGAGTCGAGTTCTGGAGGACGACCCGGAGGCTGCTTACACCACCACGGTACACACCTCACACACACACACACCTCGCAAACCAAACAGCCGCTGCTTACTTATTACTAGATGTAACACATCTGAATTCATTCGAAATATAACACCTTTATGATAAATACTTTCACTGGGATTACATTGAGTAATTCATTTGTTGTAATATGCAAGGTAAACCATCTGCTCATCTTAAAAACCGGGCAATGTGCTGAAACCCTTAGTTCGGCAAAATGAATTCTGTATTTGCATTTCAAAATGTTATGATGATAATATTGAAAGTCCACCAAAAAGAACCGTTGTTTTCCTTTTCTTATAAAGCAAGCTTTGCCTGTTTTAGCGCTACAGGACACAGTACAAATAAGTACAAATAGCTACAGCACTTAACATCTCATACTTATTTTATTATTCTACATGCTTACTTGTTTTACTTGACTTTATTCTGCTGTTTTCTTGCCTAAAACTTTGACTATGTGAAAAAAATGTAAATGTAGTGGTTGTTAGATCATCTGTCCTTGTTCCAAAAAACGATCTAACCCTTAGTGTCTTCAACCGTAGTAACTATAATTTGATATAAGACATCCGGCGGATGGGATACTAGAACAATGCATTTATTTAAAACAATGCACATGTCAGTTGTGACAGCACCAGAGCAGTAATAACAAGGACACGAGTTTTTCTCAGTTCAGCCATGCTCGCTGACAGTTCGCTGACTTCTCCTGGCTTTGTGAGAGAACCTCATTAGGAGTGGAGCTAGAAGGAAACCAGCAAACAGCAACTCAATTTACAGACATGCGCTGCGAGTTTACAAGACACTCCCTGCCAGCTGCTCTGTGGTTTCACTGCAGGTAAGTGCAAAAACACTTACCTGCTGCTGCTGATGCTTATCATTTTTATTCTCCAAAGTATGATTATCGTTTGATTGAAGTCTTGTCAGTCTGGACTCTGCACTTGGAACACTTAAATTGCCCATTCACAGATTGTATTAGTAGACCAATGCTATCAATATAAGCTTAAGACATCAGCCAATTAATGCATCACATCATAATTGTCCTGAATTCTCCCTCCAAATCAGGGGGAAATAAAGTTGCCTTAGATGGCAAAAAACTGAAATGATGCTTTTCTGTAAACCTGTCTGAGCCCACAGTGACCTCCATTTCCTGGCTTGTACTGAGGTTATTGTGTGAAGGAAATGCTGTGTCTGTGGAGTTGCAGTTTAACTGTCTACTCCACAGCACTGTGGTTGAAAGAGGTTGAGGTGATAAACACAGAAAGGGTCAGAATAAGAGAGCATGCGTAACATAATTACTTTGATTTAATTGAACCTGTTTTATTTATGTGTGTGTACAGGGTGGTAAGATCCCCATCCGGTGGACAGCTCCCGAGGCCATCTCATACAGGAAGTTCTCCTCAGCAAGCGACGCGTGGAGTTATGGCATTGTCATGTGGGAAGTGATGTCATACGGGGAGCGGCCATACTGGGAGATGTCCAATCAGGATGTGAGTACTGTTGACATCACAACGGTTGTCTCGTGTTGTTTGTCACAACACTTATGCAAAATAAGTAGTCGGGAATATGGTCTTCAGAGAAACAAAGATAACGATATAGTAGTAACTGCGTGACTATGTCATTTTTCCTACTGACTCAATTAAAAAGCTCTCAAATCTCACAAAAGCTCATGTCTTAAATACAATGTACTTCATATTCAACACTTTATTTGTAGGTTAAGAGGCCGCTCAATCATTTTGTGAACCTGCATTTGAGTTTATTGTGAACGCTGAAACCCTCTTGGTGTTTTACCTTTCCAGCAAACTATTCCTGAGGCATCTCGTTCCTAGAGGATGTCAGAGACTCGTTCATGTTGTTTCCACAATATTCCCCTCACAAGACGAGTTCTCTCACCTCTAGAACTGCGGCACACCTCAATATTGACATCTCAATTCACGTCCCGCTCCACTGAGGAAATTCTAAGTTTATTTTCCGTTATATCTGTTAAAATCGCTGCCCTTTAACCTGCTCCCTGACTGTTTCCTCACATCAAAAGCCTACCTCTGAGAGAGAGGAGGGGTGCAACAGAAATGCTGGGGAGATATACCAAAAGGATGAAAAGGATGAGGGAAAGGGAAAGGAAAAGAGCATTGAAGGTCAGAGGTTCAGAGGACATGGTTCTGATAGAGGGGGAGTTTAAAGCTCTGGATTCAGTGTGGCTGAGCAACCCGCTGATCCCAGGGCTGTGGTCAGGGATTGAAGGGGCCACGGAGGAAGCAGATCCATCCCTCTCTCCGCTGAGTGTGAAAGCTCCACCGTAATCCCTTCAACCCCTTACACACAGACTCGTACACATCTATACACAGACACCCACACACACACACACACACATTCACCAAGGTCCCAGGGTTTGAGGAGGATTGGTGCTGTTTGGGAATTGCTTAGAAGTGCTTTCCAAGGCAAAAGGCCAACCAAGCAGCAAAAGCAGCCAAACACTATCTCATCCTGGGCAGCCGCTTACCGCTGCTCCCTACAAAGATACATGGATCTCTACTTTCCCATAGACTCGCAGATATGATATGGAGATCTAGAGTATGGAGGCTACATTAATATATGCTATCGGTCCAGATAAAAAAGAGAATTACACGTATGTGAGATACATGTTGGATCTGATTGTTGGTACAGAAGTAACAGAATGAATAAAAGATCAAGTTCAAACTTATTTTGTATTACACAGGAAGTCAAACATGCCAGGAGGAGGTTAGGGGAAATGTTAGAAGCTTACAAAATACCTTAAATATAATGATATAACTCTGGTTCATGCTGCAGGCTTAACATAAAAAATGCAGAGCTGTTATTTATTTATCTTTACGTGCCTAATATTTATCTTTTTTTTACAATAGATTTATATGAAATGACAGTGTAATTTGAAAGGGGTTAATTAAAAAAAAAGCGATGTTGCAAAAGTTCATAAAATGTCATTGTTGTTTTTCTGTTATTAGCCATGCCAACGACTCTGATAGAAATGTTCCTGTCAGTCAGTTCACAACTTTGGTCGAGACTGAAATAGCTATAAAAAAACTACAAATTAATTGCCAATGAAGTTTTTTACAGTCTTTGATTGATGATGAATCCTCCTGTCTTTAAAGAACAATATATTCATTAGCACCTGAATTAAATATAAGCACTTGTATGCAAGTCCACAATCTCACAGAGCCGCTAATGTGGCTGGAGACATTATTGTTTCTACTCGTTAAATCTCCAGCTGTGAAAACCATTGTGTGAAAAGCAACAAAAATGACCTCAGAAAATCAAAAATACAGGAGTTTTAATTGTGTGAAATACTTTGTTCAAGTTCACTATTTACAATATTCTGATCTGTGGTTTTTGAAAAGCTATAATTGACTTAAATTGAACACAAATGTTCCTTTGATATTCACAAAATAATATTCCCATAACTTAAGTGGGTGTCATGTCTAGGAAACTAATAGTGAAAGTGTATTCTTTATGTTAGTTTTGTCATGTCCCTTTGCCCTGTGCTTTATGTTAATTCCCTTAATTAATCATCCCTCTCATTTCAGGCCTCCACGCTCCCCGCCCCCTTCTGTCTCCTGCGTCCTTGATTGTTTTCCCCGCCCTGATTGTTTTCCACCTGTGTCCCCTTTACCTGTGTATATATTGTGGTAGCTTCCTCCTGTTCATTGTCAGTTCGTTGTCTTACTATGACCCACGTTCCTGATTACCTCACGGACTTCCCACGGATCTACCTCATTGATCACTTGCTAGTTTTCCTCGAAAGAGTATATTTGTTTTCCTTGTTTTGATTACTGTGTAAAATTCCAGTAAAGTCTTTATTTTTTGAGAACACTATCTGTGTCGTGCAATTGAGTTCATGCCTCAGAGTCTCTCCTTGACAGTACGAACTGACCATTAAAATGAACTCAGCCGACTCAGACCAGCTAAAGAACGCCATCCGCTCTCAGGGCCAACGTCTTGGGCAACAAGAAGAGCAGATGGCCGCCATACAGCATGGAGTGCAGCACCTATCCAACAGCCACGGGGAACTACAATCATCGGTGACAACCCAGGTGAATCTGCTGGCAGCTGAGGTCCAGCGTGTGCTCACTCACCTGCAGGCTGCTTCTCCTCCCACGACTCCCCCGGTTCCGGCGGCGACCGGTTCTGATCCCAACCGGTCTACTGAGCCGCACAGTACTTCCATGCGTCTGGCTCCACCCGAAAAATACTCCGGAGACTCGGAGGGCTGCCGGACGTTCATGGTGCAGTGTGAGTTACACTATCACCACCAACCGGCTGCTTTTCCCACGGACAATTCCAAAGTGGCTTTCATGATCTCCCATCTCTCCGGCCGAGCAGCAGCGTGGGCTACGGCAGAGTGGTCCCGAGGCTCCCCCATCTGCGTGTCTCTGGAAAACTTCATAGACACGATGAGAAAGATCTTCAATCAAACCACGCCGGGCAGGGAAGCAGCTCGGGCTCTGATTAAGCTGAAACAACATCAGCGGAGTGTGGCTGACTACGCCATCGAGTTCCGGACTATGGCAGCCGATAGCGGCTGGAACTCCGCTGCATTGTTTGACGCTTTCGTCAGCGGTCTCTCGGATTCCCTACAAGACCAGCTAGCGCCTCTCGATCTGCCCGCTGACTTGGACTCTGTCATATCCATGGCAATACGGATAGACAATCGTTTGACGGAGAGGAGAAGGAATAAATCCAAGGATGCGGTTGATCCGCCTCCCCAGAGGAGACGCTCGCCGCTGGATACTACTTCTTCTTGGAGGCCTCGTCACCCCTCACCGGCGTTCCGGACAACATCGCCCCCTGGCTCCGTGGAGGAGCCAATGCAGTTGGGCCGCGCCAAGCTTTCGATGGCAGAACGTCAGCGTCGATTAAAGGAGGGTCTGTGCTTCTACTGCGGGCAGCGCGGACATCCACAAGCGGCTTGTCCGGTAAAAGAGGAGGCTCACCAATAAAGAGGAGTACGTTGGTGAGCCGGATCTCTTCCTCTGACTTTCCTCCTCGCACCCTGACCCGCATCCAGGTAAACATCAGAGACAATGTGGTTACTCATGGTGCACTCATTGACTCAGGGGCAGACGAAAGTCTGATGGATTGGGGTTTAGTTAAAAAACTGGACATAAAAACTAAACCTCTACCCCAGCCTCTTGAAGCGAGTGCTCTCGATGGGCGGCTGTTGTTTAAAGTGACTCACCAAACAGAGCCTTTAGAAATAAGATGTGATGATAACCATCACGAGACAATGTCATTTCACTTGTTTAATTCAGCCCAACATCCACTCATTTTGGGGTTTCCCTGGTTGAAACTTCATAACCCTCACATTGATTGGCAATCTGGGAGGGTGGAGGGGTGGGGAAAGAATTGCAGAGATCACTGTGTTAAGCAGGTAGCGGAGATTGACAGAAGAGGTAACACTGGGAGGGTTAGGCAGGGAACTATCCCAGAAATATATTTTCCTGATGCTCTTTCAGTCCCTTCCTGCTACCACGATTTAAGTGAAGTATTCAGTAAATCCAAGGCTCTGACTCTTCCGCCTCACCGCCCCTATGACTGTGCTATCGACCTGATTGCTGGGTCTACAATTCCTAAGGGTCGACTATATGCTATTTCAGGACCTGAGAAAGAGGCCATGAAGGACTATATTGATGCCTCCCTCAAAACAGGCCTTATTCGCCCTTCCTCATCACCAGCAGGAGCGGGGGTTTTTTTTGTTGGGAAAAAGGATGGGTCTCTTAGGCCCTGTATTGACTACTCGCATCTCAATGACATTACGGTTAAAAACCGGTACCCCCTTCCTCTCATCTCGTCAGCCTTCGAGCAGCTTCAGGGAGCCAAGGTTTTCACCAAGTTAGACCTGCGTAATGCTTATCATTTAGTCAGGATCAGGGAGGGTGATGAATGGAAGACGGGTTTCAACACCCCTTCAGGCCACTATGAATACCGTGTAATGCCATTTGGATTATCAAACGCTCCTGCTGTGTTCCAGGCTATGATCAACGACGTGTTGAGGGAGTTTCTGAACCGTTTCGTTTTTGTATATCTGGACGACATTCTGATCTACTCCCCTGACCTTGACACCCATAAACAACATGTCCGCCAGGTTCTACAAGAGCTGCTCAAGAATAGGTTGTTTGTCAAAGCAGAAAAATGCGAATTCCTTGTAGAGACAGTCACTTTCTTGGGCTTCATCATTTCGCCGGGTCAGGTTAGGATGGACCCAGAGAAGGTTAGCGCAGTAGCTTGTTGGCCTACCCCTGACTCTCGTAAGAAAGTGCAGCAGTTTTTAGGCTTTGCAAATTTTTACAGACGTTTTGTGCGGAGGTTCAGTGCTATTGCAGCCCATCTTCATGTCCTCACGTCCCCTCAAGTGCCTTTTTTGTAGTCTCCTCAGGCTGAGGAGGCTTTTTCTCGGCTTAAAGGAATGTTCACCTCTGCTCCCATACTCACCTTGCCGGACACCACTCGTCAGTTTGTGGTAGAAGTGGATGCCTCCAACGAAGGGGTGGGAGCGGTCCTCTCCCAGCGACTACAGAAGGACAACAAACTTCACCCCTGCGCTTTCCTGTCCAGGAAGCTCTCCCCAGCAGAGAGAAATTACGACGTGGGAAACCGTGAGTTGCTGGCCGTGAAGCTGGCACTGGAAGAGTGGAGGCATTGGTTGGAGGGAGCCGAGCATCCTTTCGTGGTTTGGACCGATCACAAAAACTTGGAATATATAAGAAAGGCCAAAAGACTGAACTCCCGCCAGGCTAGGTGGACCTTGTTTTTCAACCGTTTTGACTTTGTTCTTTCCTTCAGGCCGGGGTCTCAGAATGTCAAGCCTGACGCTCTGTCCCGTCTGTTTGACCCTGTGCCTGCAGTCAAGGAGCCGGAACCCATCATCCCATTAAACCGGGTGGTAGGAGCGCTGACTTGGTCAGTAGAGAAGGAGGTAATACGAGCCAATTCTGGAGCTCCTGCACCAAGGGGTTGCCCGCCTAACCGGCTTTTCGTTCAGGAGACCGAGCGACCACAGGTGATCCACTGGGCTCACACTTCGCTGCTCACCTGTCACCCTGGAGTCAAGAGAACTATGTTCATCATAAAACAACGTTTCTGGTGGACATCCATGGAGAAGGAGGTGAAGGAGTATGTGGAGGCGTGCCCTGTCTGCGCTCGAAACAAGACCTCTTCCAGGGCGCGAATAGGACTATTACAACCACTCCCTATTCCCAACAGACCCTGGTCAGAGATCTCCATGGACTTCGTCACTGGCCTGCCCCTCTCTAGAGGTAAAACCACAGTTCTTACGGTAGTGGACCGTTTTTCTAAAATGACACATTTCATTGCTTTGCCCAAGATGCCCTCAGCGAAGGAAACGGCTGAGGTCATGATGCATAATGTGTTTCGGCTTCATGGTTTCCCAAAGGATATTGTCTCCGACCGGGGCCCCCAGTTTGTGTCACGCTTCTGGAAGGAGTTCTGCCGCCTCATCGGTGCCACGGTCAGTCTCTCGTCAGGATACCATCCGGAGTCTAACGGCCAGACAGAGCGCCTAAATCAAGAACTGGAGACCTGTTTGCGCTGCTTGGTGTCCCAGAATCCATCCTCCTGGAGCGAGCACCTCACCTGGGTTGAGTATGCGCACAACATCCTCCCTACTTCTGCCACGGGCCTGTCCCCATTTCACTGTTTATGGCTACCAGCCGCCACTGTTCCCAGCCACGGAGAGGGAGGTCACGGTCCCGTCTGCCCACGAGCTGGTCAGGCGTTGTCGGCGCGTGTGGGCTGCGGCTAGGAAGATCCTCTGCAGGAATTCACAACTGGTGAAAAGAGCAGCAGACCGAAAACGCCGACCAGCTCCTGTATACCAGCCAGGCCAAAAAGTCTGGCTTTCTACACGAGACCTTCCCCTCCACGTACTCTCCCGTAAATTGGCTCCCCGGTTTGTGGGTCCTTTTCCCGTCACCAAGGTCATCAACCCGGTTTCAGTGAGACTACGGCTTCCCAGGTCCATGAAGGTACATCCCACCTTCCATGTAGGGAAACTAAAACCCTTGAAGGAGAGCGCTATGGTTCCCACCGCCAAACCCCCCCCCGCCCCCCCGGATGATTGATGGAGGTCCGGTTTACACCGTCAAGAAGATATTGGCTAGTCGGAAAAGGGGTAGAGGGCGACAGCTACTGGTTGACTGGAAGGGTTATGGTCCTGAGGAGCGGATATGGATTCCTTCCCGCTTCGTCATAGATAAAAGCCTCATTGAGGATTTTGACCGCCTCAACTCAGAGGAGCCTGGGCCGTCAGGAGCCGTCCCTAGAAGGGGGGGTACTGTCATGTCTAGGAAACTAATAGTGAAAGTGTATTCTTTATGTTAGTTTTGTCATGTCCCTTTGCCCTGTGCTTTATGTTTATTCCCTTAATTAATCATCCCTCTCATTTCAGGCCTCCACGCTCCCCGCCCCCTTCTGTCTCCTGCGTCCTTGATTGTTTTCCCCGCCCTGATTGTTTCCACCTGTGTCCCCTTTACCTGTGTATATATTGTGGTAGCTTCCTCCTGTTCATTGTCAGTTCGTTGTCTTACTATGACCCACGTTCCTGATTACCTCACGGACTTCCCACGGATCTACCTCATTGATCACTTGCTAGTTTTCCTCGAAAGAGTATATTTGTTTTCCTTGTTTTGATTACTGTGTAAAATTCCAGTAAAGTCTTTATTTTTTGAGAACACTATCTGTGTCGTGCAATTGAGTTCATGCCTCAGAGTCTCTCCTTGACAGTGGGATTGACATGTATTATAAGCTTTGTAAATGCAACCCCAGATCCTCAAACCTTACATGCAATGAAAATATATACAATGTCTAACAATGCTCCCTGTATAGTTTATCAGTATCTTTATTATCTGTGTGAGATGAGAGTAACACCTACGTCACTTCCGGGCAAAAATTACGGCCCCGCCCACTTTTGGGGGAAAACAACGCTGTCATTTGAATGGCGGTCAATACAAATTCTGAAGTTTTTGCCAATCCGATCAAATTTTTTGGAAAACCGTGGATTTTTGGATCTTCAAAGAGCCCGATTACGATGGCCAGTCAGGCAAACAATTACATTCGATCATTGGTAATCCACAATCAGTCTTGATATATGGTTAAATTAAAATCAGTAGGCGAGGCTGTAATTTCTCCAGCTGTTACTCTCATGAGCGAGGCGGAACATAATAGTTGTATCATGCCAACAAGCTGCCGTGTCGTTTATTGCACATCAAACATTACAAATAATCCAGAGTTCAGTGTTTCTGTACTTCCTCTAAGAAGAAAGGACAGTAAAGGAAGAGCTCTGTGGTTTCAGGCTCGATCGCCATTCAAATGACAGCGTTGTTTCCCCCAAAAGTGGGCGGGGCCGTAAAGTGACGTAGATGTTACTCTCATCTATGAAAATCGATAGCCTACTGCTATATTTAACCATATATCGAGCCCGATCGTCGATTTCTAATAGCTTAATGCAATTGTTTGCCCGTCTGGCCATTGGAATCGGGCTCTTTGAAGATCCAAAAATCTCCGGTTTTTTTAAATTTCTGATCGGATTGGCAAAAACTTCAGAATTTGTATTGACCGCCATTCAACTGACAGCGTTGTTTTCCCCCAAAAGTGGGCGGAGCCGTTATTTTTGCCCGGAAGTGACGCATTTGACCACAATTTCAATTTTTATTTTTTTTTTATTCTTTATTTATTTGGAGTCACATTATAAAAGTACAGTTTTTCAAATCATGTATTTTTAGAGACCCGAAAATGACAAATGAAATGGCAAACAAAATGTGTCAAAATAAAATAAAAACGAAAAAGTACACAGGGGTTGTTTGAAATCGCAAATGTCTACACATGTACATATGCATACATTTCAACATACATATACAATACACATACACACATACATGTGTCCATACATATACAACTATACATATATATTCAATCGGTGTATAGAAACAGTCAAACAAGCGATGGTCGTCTTTGGGATATGTAAATTCTCCACTTTTTCCATATTTCCTCAAATGTCTTTTCCTGAAGCCTCATTGAGAAAGTGATTCTTTCCATAACATACATTTCATGGATTTTGTCCTACCAGTTGTCAAGAGAAGGGATGTCCGCTTTGAGCCATTTTCTAGTTATTACTTTTTTTGCTGCTACAGTAAGAATTCAAAATAATGGTTTTGTTTTCAGGTTTGTGGGGATTGAATGTACAGCACGAGCCCAAATAGAAATTCGTCCCAGTTTAATGGGATTTTTTCCTATAGTACTATTTCAATTTCTAAATGGATCTTTTGACAAAAAGTTACTGTTACACAATTTCAATTTCAAGTCTCTAGCTAAAACTTTCCAACCGAACAGCTCAATTTTTCAAGCTAATTCATTTCTAATAGAGCAGCCACATTTGGACGTCTCCCTTCATCAGGTGTGATGTTCTCTGCAGGTGATCCTGTCCATTGAAGAGGGCTACAGGCTGCCGGCTCCGATGGGCTGCCCCGTGGCTCTGCACCAGCTCATGCTGCACTGCTGGCAGAAGGAGAGGAGTCATCGGCCCAAATGTACCGATGTTGTTTCCTTCTTGGACAAACTGATCCGTAACCCCAGCAGCCTACTGTCACTGGTAGAGGACATTCAGAGGTACGATTGAAGACTTCCTAGTGTCATGAAATGCTTTGTAAGGTTATTTGAGCCGAGGTCACAGTGGTTAAAGCAATACAAGTTAAAACTAACCATGAGCTGTGATAGAACATCGACCCTAAATCCAGGCTATGTTGAATATTTTGTGAAAGTTTATAAATTGCTCTTCTTCCTCCGTGTTAAAAATATTCGTCACTCAGTTTAAGCCAGTAGGGTATGTCCTCCATCTCTGAGCAGCTTTTGAAATACTGGCACGATCTGACATTATTATTTTTTTGTTTTTTAAGTCTACCAGAGTCTCCGGGGGAGGAAATGGACTACCCAATGTTCATCTCCATCGGCGACTGGCTGGACTCCATTAAGATGAGTCAGTACAAGAGCAATTTCATGGCAGCTGGCTACAACACATTGGATTCTGTGGCAAGGATGAGTATTGAGTGAGTAGCAAAGCTAAAGCATACCCATTATAAAAGGGCAAGAAATCTAATAGAATCAGCATTTTGTAGCAGCAGTGTTGCTTAAAGGACACTCAAAAGTCATGTCTCCTGTGAAAGCATTGGGATGCTTTTGTTAAAGGTCCCCTATTTTACTGTTTTTCAACAATATATTATAGGTCTCAGATATATACAAAACATGTCTCTGAAGTGTTTGGCTCGAAACACCTAACAGATTGTGCATTGTAGCATCCCATAATCCCCTCTGTTTCAGCCCTGTTTCCAAAGTGCTGATTCTCTGTCTGTTACTTTAGATGAAAATAAGGAGCCACTCCCCACTGAGAGATATTTGGTTAAAAAGAACACAATGGTGCTCTAGGAGGAGATTCAGGTGATAAGGTGTGGGGGGGGGTTACCTTGGGTGGTTATTGGTTAATGGTTACTCAAGCAAAAAAATCGTTATGACATCATAAAGTGGCCAAAATCTGATCAGCTCATTTTCAGACAGGTTTTTATATAAATGGATCAGGACAAAAAGAGAGAGAATCTTTTTTCCTGAAACTTCCAGAATGTCTTTACACAGAGGGGACACATGTTTATGTATAAAAGACAGGAAAAAGTAGATTTTGCATAATAGGTGACCTTTAATTCAACATTTTCGCAGCATCATGTGTATTTACAATGTATATTTTTGAACTAATTGCCTAAGGAAAATGAAGCGAAGGTTAATGGCACATTTGTGATCAAATCAGCTTTTACCAGACAGTGTATACATTTTCTGCAAAAGCTAATGAAAAGTCCTAGCAAGTAAGACTCAAAGCGTTGTGTTTGTGTGTTTGTATGTGTGTTTCCCTCTCGGCCTAGAGATGTGAGGCGTATAGGGGTGGAGCTGATCGGCCACCAGAGGCGGATCAGCAGCAGCATACAGACCCTCCGCCTTCAGATACTGCACGAACAGGAGAAGGGTTTCCATGTATGAGGACACCCTATATCACAGCCTGGGATGAACAGATAGACGGAGCAGAGGGAAGTGAAGTGTAGACCGCCGGACAGACAGTCTGCAGCCTGTGCCTGAGTCTTAAGGCCTCGTACAGGAGGTCATTGGACAGACTCAACAGCAGACGGCCCCCCGGTCTCGCTCACATCCAGTAGTTACAGACTTTTTCCTACTATACACCCCTCCCTCAGTATTCCTGGCTTTAAAGACTGGCCCAGGCCCTCACTTAGGGGAATGTAATGCCTTGTTGCAGCAGCAGTACTTTGTGTGTGGAGCAACAATATCTAGAAATGTAGATTTGCAAACGTAATCTACTGAATCTTTTCTGACTTTTTTTCTTTTTTGCTCGGAGTTATGTGCTCATGTAGTTGCTATCGGGTGTGCAATCTAAGAGTTTATAGAAATAATATATCCTTAATATCTTTTATGTTGGAGTTTGGATAATTTTGTCATAAAATTATTATGTGCAATTAATTTAGTTTACCCTCTCTCCAGAGAATCTGGTACGCTAATACTTGAAGAAAGAAGTAGGAAGCAAGTGACGGCGATTTCATGAATGTTTAAAAAAGTGTATAGACAATTAATCGATAATTATTATAATAACCTAATATCTATATATGTGCAGTACTGTATGTGAAAGCCCTAGTAAATCTGGATCTTATTTAAGATGTTTTTAATTAAGATGTTTAATTTTAGATTTGTATCCAAATCAGCAATACAGTATTATGCAGTCACCTCAGTATCTCAGAAAGATGAAGAATTGTGCAATGAGAGAACTCTTGTTGACATGTAAACATGAGGCTCACTCCTCATCCTCCGCCTGATTTTATTCTCACATGCTCAGCTTGCAGAACTGGATCTGTTGCCTTCAGATGAATAACCATACAAGTCTATTCTGACCATTTTTAGCTACCAGTCTACTGACAGCTGTGCGATAAGCCTGATTTATTTTGGATTGTGAATGTTATACATTGCCTGAAAGTACACAAACTCCACTGTCTTAACATATGAATGTCACAGAACTTAGATATAGATAGGAGAGTTTTGAAAGTGTCGGGAAGCTCAACGTGGACTTAGATGGTTTTTCAGAATTTGCCGAAATGCTTTCATATACATTCAATGGTTTTTTTCCTGCGCACACACACTGATTGATTAATTCTCCTCCAGCCTTTTATTACTTTGTGGCCATGTAAAGGTTGTGGCAGTATGGGAAATTAGTGTACATAGACGTGAAATGAAAACCGTTGGATTTGCAGTAGATGATGTCAAGTTCTCCGATGTTTGCCATTAAAATTAAAAAAAATTCTTCATTCGCTAAGTCAGTGGTGAGTAGGCAGTGCTGCAGAATAGAAGTAGTTAGTAGAGTGGGAAGCAGCAGGAGTATAGATAAAGCCTGGAGATTTAGATTTGTGAGATCAGAGCTGTCCAGCAGGGAAAAGTGAATGACTTTTAGGACAGCAGAGGGAGAATGAACACAAACAGCAGCATCATAACTCATCATGTGTCATTCAGCAGTAACAAACACATGCATGCATGCACACACACACACACACACACACACACACACACACAAAACACACCCACACCCACATGAAAAGAATGCCTTACAGTCTGATAACCATGCAAGATAGAAACACTTTAAAGTGGTTAATAAGGACCCAGGACCTAGCCATTACTTTGAGTATTTTTCCATATTTAAGAGAGCTCTGTTTTATTCTTACAAAGGAGGGATTGTTGAATAATGTCAAAGGCCAACTGGATCCAGAGATCAGTCACAGCGTAGTAATGCATCCAGGCCAGCAGAAGTAGGAAAGGCACACATCCAAACACACACATATTTGCACACACACATGCTCCGGTCACCACCCCTCTACAGAATAAGGAGAATATCAGATGCTGTTTGTTTAGCATGTTCTACTGCTGAGCAATGTTAGAACGTTCTTTTGTACAAAGTACAAGTATACTTATAATTATTGTATTTTATTTTTCTATAATTTCCAAAGAGATGTTGTAGATCTTGCACACTGTAAGAAGCAGTTACTGCGAATATTTATTTGCAAATAAAGATGAACAGTTCTGGTGGTTAACTGCTCATTTACTTTTGTTTCCATTAATTCAAAGAAGTAAGTGCTAACTTCAGGTTGCAAAGTGTCTTCTTCCTTGAAGAAATCAAATCAAATCAAGTTTTATTTATATAGCACATTTATAAACGATTTTTGGTCGAGCCAAAGTGCTGTACATATAATAAAAATAGCCTACAGTAGAGACACTTTACAGCAAATACAACAGCACAGATTGTTCAGAATATCAGTATGAGAAAAACGACACCCTCTGTCCTTAGACCCTCACATCGTACAAGGAAAAACTTCCAGAGAAAACCCACAGTTTAAGGGGAAAAAATGGGAGAAACCTCAGGGAGAGCAACAGAGGAGGGATCCCTCTCCCAGGACGGACAGACGTGCAATAGATGCTGTGTGTAAATCGAAGAGATAATACATTTTACAGCATATAGACCGAATGTTAGGAAATGCATGTGTCTGTAATAAGAAGATGAATCCACGAGGATGTCAGCTACAATCCTGAGGAAGCCATCAGGGAAGCAGCATGGCGAGACCCAAGGCAGGACCGCAGAGACAGGTTCAGCCGCGACCCGAACGTCCACGACTTAATCCAGAACTCGGGATAGAGGATCCAAGACACAGGACTACAGCAAGAGGATCAGCCTCGACTCCGGATCCCGGCGTCGATATAGATACAAAACAAGAAAAAAGATTTGGCTAGGTTAATCGGAACAAGAGAATACACAGACACAGACAGAGAGGCAGTCGAGAAGACACATCTCCCATCTGTTTGATTAGCGTTTGATGTAAAATAATACAGTATATGATTTCTACCATCTGTTAAACCTGGCAACTTTCTGGTTGTCCTTCACCGAACTGATAACCGAAGGAGGGAGCTGTTGGATGACTGACAAGCTTCTGCCACGTAAGAAGTCCAACTTCCTGCTATCATTCTGGAAATTCATGATTTTACAACTCCAGAGCTTAAAATAAGTTATGGTGTCCTCATTTTTACTGTGTGTGTGTGTGTGTGTGTGTGTGTGTGTGTGTGTGTGTGTGTGTGTGTGTGTGTGTGTGTGTGTGTGTGTGTGTGTGTGTGTGTGTGTGTGTGTGTGTGTGTGTGTGTGTGTGTGTGTGTGTGTGTGTGTGTGTGTGTGTGTGTGTGTGTGTGTGTGTGTGTGTGTGTGTGTGTGTGTGTGTGTGTGTGTGTGTGTGTGTGTGTGTGTCAACACTACTCTGTCAAACATTAATTGAATTACAGCAAATGACTTCAGACTTACACAAGTTATATAGTAGCTCCATGTAAGCTAAGGTACAGGTTAGTGTAGTGAATCAAATGCATCAGGGTGGGGTCCTGGAAAGCTGAAGACTCCATGGTCAGGTTGGCGGGAGGTTCACAGCGCTTAATACGCCCTAATAGGATTACCTGTCACAAGCCGGGATGCCCAGCTTGCATCTCAGCTGGTGACACTATTCACAGCAAGCACAGGGAACACACTGTCCACGGCTATGTTTATCCTTATTGTTTGTTTCCATGAAAGTTTTCGAATTTAGTTCATTTATTTTTCCAGTAGATAAACTCTCTATGGGGTGATGTGTTGACATTTACATAGTGTGGCTTTAATCAAGTCTAATGGGGCTGCTGGATAAACTCTCGGGCTGGCTGGGCCTGAGGAAGAAAGAAGTCAACGTTTTGTGTTTGGGGCTCGATAACAGCGGCAAAACCACCATCATCAACCAACTCAAACCATCCAATGTAAGTATAAAAACAAGGCCTTATTGTAAGAATAAAGTTATTTTGTAAGGACATTTGAGACATTTTTGTTGTTGGTATACCGTGATTATTTAGGGGAAATATTGTGACCAGGCCTGTCAAATATTTCACTGCAATCATTCATGGATTGCTTGTTTTCAGCATTCGAATCATTTAGGCCCATTGTCAGGAGAATGGAAACATGCTAGTCAGGTAAAGCCCACGTCATACTTTCCTTATACTATTTTCTTGTTGACAAAGTTTTGCCATTACTTGTCTGTTTCTGTGGGTATGTTTGTCTGTGTTGATGAATGCAGACGCAGACACAAGAAATAGTCCCAACAATTGGCTTCAACATTGAGAGGTTCAAGAGTTCAAGGTAGAATTTGTATAGACATCTAGTATCTATATTATTTACATTTGACGAGTTAATACATGAAATAGAAAAATGGCTAATGCTCCATTTTGTATCATTTAAGCTCTCTGTTTTCTCCCTCTCTGTCCGTAGCCTGTCATTTACAGTCTTTGATATGTCTGGGCAGAGCAGATATAGAAACCTATGGGAGCATTGTTACAAGTAAGAAACACAACATTTGCTCTTTAAATAAAAAATAAAAAACCGTAATTTATCAATCATGACTTCTTCTTCCTCCTCAGAGAAAGCCATGCCATCATATTTGTCATCGACAGCGGTGACAAACTGAGGATGGTTGTTGCCAAAGAGGAGCTCGACACTCTACTCAATCATGAAGGTATACATTTATGATAATTGTTTTGCACAAAGGAAATACTGACACTATTTTTCCTGCAGAAAGCCTGATTTACATATACTGTATTTTATAAAAGATGTTTTCATATTTGGTTTGTTTTCACTTAGAGATAAATCTAAGGTTGAATAAAATCCATCTAGTTTGAGTCCTCTATCATGGCGCCAATTCTCATATGGAATTACTTTCAATATGTAATGTATAATATTAAAAACATTATTACATTTAAAATATGATATAATATGATAAACACTCTACTTATACTCCTAGAATTATTATGGATAAACAAAAAATGATTCATCTTTGCCGATGATCCTCTGAAATGTGTCTTATTACCCAGATATCCGCAATAGAAAGATGCCTGTCTTGTTCTTCGCCAACAAGATGGATCTGAGGGACGCCATGTCTTCTGTCAGGGTCTCACAGTTGTTGTCTCTGGAGAACATCAAAGAAAAACCCTGGCACATCTGGTATTTCACACCAGTCTTTAGTTCATTTCTTCTGATTCTGTTTTCAAAGGAATATTTTGCCACCACCAGAGGTATTGTTGAGTCGTGGGCTCTGGCTACTGTTATGTAGTCTTGAAGTAACACGCAACATGTTGTGCTTCTAGAGTTTAGGCTTAAAGTCTTAAATAGAAACAATAAAGATACCATGGATGTTTACTCACTTCTTCCTTGGCCTTTTTCCAATATCTGCATGTTCATGTTCCAGGTTCAACCTTATTGAGGCACAGCAACAGGAAGTTATTTAAAAGCCTGGTTAGTACTGTATACGTGTGTTTACCACCTTGTTTACTCATTAGACAGATGGAAGGCAGATGGATTAAGAGCTAGAAAGCTTTAAACATCAAGGGTCCAAAAAAAGTCAAGAGAAAGCGAACATGTGTGACGGGGAGATTAACTTCTGGTCATCTTCTTATTTTCTCAGTGCTAGCGATGCTATCAAAGGAGAGGGTCTACAGGAAGGGTTGGACTGGCTACATGGTAAATGGGTTTAGTAAATGTAACAGTCATACTGGATCAAAGTAAAATAGCAGTGTTCAATTTCTCTCCAAATGTATGTCAATTTTAAAGTGCCGTCTGTATTAAAACTTGTTTTCTTCTTCCATAGAACAAATTTCACAGTAAGTATTATAATGCTGTGTCATGTCAATATGTAGAGTGATTGTGGTGGTAGGTTATTTTTCTTTGGATGAGATTTAAATCATGGTAGGCCAAGACAAATTTGTATTTGTCTGTTATTAAAACTAAAAACTAAATTATTTAATTTATAATACTTTGACCTCACCTAGAGGAATAAATCCCTTTTGTGAGGCTTAAACTGTAGGCTTCAATTCCTTTTTTTATTTTCCCTATTCTCCAATTTGAATGTAATGTGTACATTTACTGATGTTGCCCTGAATATTACCCATCCAACCCTTAACAACCCTTAACAACCCTTAACAACCCCCAAAAATGTCACAATGAAGATCAGAAATGTTTTCAAATGTTGTAGTTTTGTTACCTTACCTCTATTTTGTTTTTTTCTCTTGCCAGAATACATGAAAACAGTGAAAACGTGAATAATTGAAATGTCTGTGACCATGGCCGTGATGTGGACTTGGTAACTGGATCAAATGTACTGCTTGGATGATTCCTGTTACTTGTTGCTGTAGGCCTTAAACTCCCATTTTAAATAGCATAGTACTTCCTGTTCATGCCATGACTTTGACATCGTGTTTCTTAACAACATTTGGATATGGATATTTGTATATGACGTCTAATCAAGCGCCCACGCCCGTCCGTCGTAAGTTACCTTTGTTACATCATTGCTGACACAAATGTAGTGGCAGTCCCACTTATCTACTTGTTTGTTTTTTTTGCATACAGAAACATTTGTATTTGAAGCTTTGCTTTTTTATTCCATGACATGTAATTAAACACATTTCATTAACAGATTTTTTTATGCTGTCAGTGCTAAAAATATTGTACTACTTGGAGGATAATAAAAAGTAATTTGCTTATTGTGTGCTACTGTATGTTTCTGTTTTTATTTTTAAGAAAAGGTAGCTTAAAAAACGTTCATAGAAAACTTTTGAAAAATGACAAATGATAATTGAAAATACAAGTTTAATAAATTATGCAAAAATAATTGTCTTACAGTTATATTTACAGAAAGGCTAAATGTGAATAAATACTTTTAATAAATACAGTTACTGTTAATAAATATATATTAAGTAGTTTTTGAACATTAACATGCAATATGTTTACAAAGAACAAGATTTTAAAACTTACGGAGGAATATAAAACTTGTAAAATAAATGTCTTATTGGTCATAAGAACTTAAACAGCTGTATTTTCAACCAAGAAATGCAGGGTTATTTACAGCGTATAGAGAACTGTCAACAAAATTCCCCCTAGATTTCAAACTGTAGGCATCAAGTCTTTCTAAGGTCCATCTCCCTCTTTTGTTCACTTCTTCAGTTAACCCTATTCATTATTGCCGTTTGTTCCTTCCCGAGCTCATTTTCTTGTCACTTTAAATCTGCGTCGCTTCACTTTAGGATCATGTGGAGGAATTTAGTGTGGAAGCGAGCGCTGGAGTCCAGGAGGATGCACAGGCTCTGGAAAGTCTCCCTGTCCTCGGGTTGGTTTCCTGCGAACAGATGATGGTATTAGTGATCACTTTCTTTTTAATCAGAGGCACTGTGGAGGTATTAAACACATCTTTAGCAGTTGCAATAAGACAAAGTCAAAGACACGTTTTTCTACATTTAATGATGTTGTTGTTTGTTCTAGTCTACTTCAGTTTAAAAACCTAGATACAATAAACTGAAAACATGTTCAATAAATTAATGAGAAATTAGGAGTACCCTATATATGCCATCTGTTGGAGCTGTGACACACATACACAGAACACATCAACAGTGTTGTAGTCAAGTCACCAATTCACAAGTCCAAGTCACTCTCGAGTCCCCACTTTTCGAGTCCAAGTCCGAGTCACCCAAGGAGTGTCCGATTCATCATTGCCTGTGTCCGAGTCCAAGTCCGAGTCACCCAAGGAGTGTCCGAGTCGAGTCCGATTCATCATTACCTGTGTTCGAGTCCGAGTCCAAGTCCGAGTCACCCAAGAAGAGTCCAAGTCAAGTCCGAGTCACAAGTCTTCATGTATTAATCTTTGTGGATATATGTGTTGAAATACAGCTATAGCTCCTCTACATTGCTTTTATCCTGTCATGTTATACTAATCTGTCTATTGAACTGCTGTGAAGCCAGTTTGGCTACAATTCTTGTAATAGGTGCTAGACAAATATAAAGCTTATTACTAATATTAATATTATTATGATATTATTATTATATTTATTTGACTATGTGTGAGTATGTAGGTGTGTATATGTATGTGTGCATATATGTATATCAGTGTATGTATATGTGTATATGTCAATCAACAGGTAAAGCAGATTAATAATAATAATAACAATAATAATGATAATTATTGCAGATTATAGATTATAAATAAATCATTTAGGGACAAGGGGGTGAGATTAAATAAATTATACTTCTTCTCATTCCTTTTCGAACACTAGATGTGGCACTGTTTATGTTGCTAATGCTGTTGTTGTTGTAAATGTCATTTTTTGTTTTGATTTCTCTTACATGACTATGCACTGCAACATTTGTTTTGTTTTGTAATTATTTATTTGACTTGTTCGAAATAAATGTATCTATCAATCAATCAATTATGATTTATATTATTGTAAATGACCTTCTAACTATATTTAAAATGAGTTTTAGAGAAGTGATTATATTTGTATGCTAATATTTTCTTATAGTAAAGTTTTCGTTTTGCACTTTTATTTTGATAGTAATAACGGATAGATGATGAATAGATTAACATATACTAAATAGTTACATTGGGTTTTTAGCACCTGGCTGATAAGGGCACAAGCTCTTACGTTGGTATTAATGATTGTATAAAAGCAAGAGTGTGCAATAAACAGATACCATCAGTTGGAGAGTCTGACCATCATTCAGCCGGGGACGCTACAATTATTATAGTGAATGTTTAAATGATATCAATAAAGATTGAGCCCCAGAAAGCACATGGCTACTTAGCATGCAAAATGACATCATTTTGCATGCTAAGTAGCCATGTGCTTTTGTGTTATCAGCTGAATCTTTATTTATTGATTAGATCACGTTACTCTGATGATAGTGTTCAACACAGCCTATATGTCTTCACTCGATCCTTAGAGTAATGTGTTACGGAGCCTTCTCTTCAATGTTGTTTCCACATAACGAGCATTTTGCGCTGCTCTTTTCCAATGTGGAAGCAGAATGTGTGAAAGCATACAGCACGACGAGGTGTGTCTCTAGACATCTTTAGACTGGAATAGCGGGGCCCAGTACGTGAACTCGCCTCGCAGGTGCACATGCCAGGGTGGAGAACATCAGACTCCAGAGAAAACTTGCTCCGAGTCCAAGTCGGAGCGCCAATGTACAAGTTGAGTCCGAGTCATCGTGCGCAAGAATTCACGAGTCCAAGTCCGACTCGCGTCAATCAGTGCGCGAGTCCGAGTCGAGTCACGCACGAGTCCCGAAAATCGTCACTCGAGTCCGGGACTCGAGTAATCCATCTCTGTCAACAAACAGACTTTAAAAACAAGCTGCTCCACTCCATTCTATTCCCCTACTACCACTCTACCATGCTTTTCTTTCTCTACATAAACAGAATACATACATCGTATAAATAATTTGAAATGGAACATTACACCATCTTTAAACGTATAGCATCTTCCTTCCACCTTACATGGGCTGCACTGTCTACTCTATATAATATCATTCCCTTGTTTTTTTTAAGCTTTTATTGAAGCCCACTATCTACATGTAAATGCTGTCTAGTGTTTCTTCAAGATACGTTTTTGGAGTCAAGACTAAAGATGAACTAAGTTATATTTGCGCTGTAGCATACTGTCACACCTCACCTGTAACAGAAAACTCGAAGAACTCCCTGGTGACATCTGAAAACATGTTCTCCAGTTGTTGAATGAAGCCAAACCTTTCCGGAGGCGTACTGAAGACCTTGCAGAGGTTCTGCACCATTTTCACTGCCCAGGACATGTGATAGCCATCCTTCTCACACACCTGAGGAGGAGGGCAAATCAAGGAAATCAAGCACTAGATCACATCCAGTCGGGAGAACCAATGGCAAACATTATTAGCATTTTTAGGGCTGATGTTTACATTTCAACTGCTAAGGCGACCCCAGGAGGAGGCTTACAGAATAACTAATCATACTAAGCACTTAGACGGCACAAGTGACTCTAACAGCCTGTAGATGAAAGTAAGGACCTGTCTGACCATTGTTCTGCCCAGTGCATGTTGGGTATGGTTTTAGCTCCCTCAAGAATGAGCAGATATGAGTCACAACCACCAATATGAATAGCTTCAAAATGACCAGGCCAATATCCAATCCTCAGATGAAAGCAGATCGTCCAAACACACCAGATTAACCTTAATTGAGAATTACATTTAAACTAATTTCCTTTAGCTGATGGTAAAATAAGCAGTACTCTCACCAGTATGATGTACACGATGAGTCTGGAGATCTCGAGAAGTCGTCCATTGACCGCCTTGCTGGCTAGTACAGTGTAGCAGAGACTGCTGCCACACAGCACCAACAGACGCGCCACGTTCTCCACATGCCACGGCTGAGGAAGATACATGGAGGAGGAGGAGGAGGAGGAGGAGGAGGAGGAGGAGGAGGAGGAGGAGGAGGAGGAGGAGGAGGAGGAGGAGGAGGAGGAGGAGGAGGAGGAGGAGGAGGAGGAGGAGGAGGGGGAGGAGGAGGAGAAGGAGGAGGAGGAGGACAAGGACAACAACGACAATTAAGTTTACAATCAGTAACACCAATATGTTGTCTATGAAAACATTTGAGAGAGAACTGAAGTATGATACCAATGAGCTCCTTGAATATTGCCACCAGTGAGTTGTTGTTCTGGCCTTTCACTTCTAGTTTGCTGAAAAGCAGCAGGAAGGCTCTGGCCAGGTCCCACAGAGCGCTGTGAGGCAGACCCCTCTCCACCAGATCCTGCCACCCCAGGGTGCCTGCACAGAGGAGAGAACCTCACTGACTGTGTCATGTTATTACCACATCACAGTGGAGACAAATCTACAGGAAGCTCAACTAAACTAAAGTTTTCCAACGTCAGTGTAAGCTGCCCAGGTCTCCTGCACAAGAGTCAAACACTATAGGTTGTTCATTTGAGTGACATTATACAACTATATGTTGCTTTTTAACACTAAAACATCGGGTTGTTCAAACTCCTAACCTTTCATTGTACATTTCAATTAAATGTCAACACATTTCAACATAGTTATCAACCACAGCTAAGAGGAAACTATATTTTGAAAATAATCTCAGGGAAATATCCCCACTAACTATGATGTGTTTTTTAAATAATATTGCATACACTTGCTTTTGGAAAGGAAGATTACAGTCTGATCATGTTTTCATGTAAACAAATCCAGAAACGTTATTCTTATGACAAAAATAAAATGGACTGATCAATATGTTCTTATAAAGTTAATTAACCACAAACCCCGCTT